AAAGGCGCGCAAACCAGTGGAGCGACTCATTTTTGCATTAAATCATTTCACGGACTCATTATCATAAAATCATTTCACAACTCAATTTCTTAAAACATGTCCACACACAGAAAAAACATTCTTAACACTCTGATCAATTGACTCTCAACTGTAAAAAGGTAAAAATTAAAGATTCGATATTTAAACATTCGTCTCCTCAGATTAAATTCTAAATATCCTTCTTCATTCCGATTTAAAATATAATTCACACAAACCAGTCCATCCCGAGGTAAATTAGTTAAATCTATTGACCTCAAAAAGGACTAACACATATACATTCACGATTCACGACGTGACAGGGAAGCTCTTACTTTCCGAGATATAAAAATACTTATATCTATATATGATTATATCTCTATGATTATATACATGTATATATTAACATTTTCGAACAAAATATATTTTTTATATAATATAATAAGACGGATTTCATAAACGTGGGAATAGATGTATTTCTGATACTAATTGCAGAAAATGACTGAAATTCTGTACAAAAGAACTTTAAGATTAATTCGAAAAGTTTATCCATGATTGAACTGAAGAGAGTTCTGATGTTAATTCACTGCAAATTTTAATACCTATTATAAGTTTAAAATTTACATGTTATCCGCGGTATTCATAATTGTTCCTTTGCTTTGCGGTATCAAGGATGATGAATAGCTGGACGCAACATATATCTGTAGCGCGACGCTTGCATTTGCGAAATGTGCGATTTCGAAATCTAACAATGTTACATGTTATTGAATTCAGCGTAACATTCTTTTTAATGTTACGCCTCCTAAAAGTCTGAAGATTCACAGAAATGATAGTGAATGATAAAGATAGCTTAAAAAATGTATGTATCTGTAAACATCTAAATGGACAATTATAGAAAACATCAAATGCTACAAATGCTTGTCCGAAAGATTTTCCATACGCTTTACGGTTTCGAAGATATAGACTCACGATCAAATCAATCGAATTTCTCTTAAAGGGTTTTGCTTCAGCCCCTAATTGTGCGAGAAAACACATGTGGAAACAAAGAAGATGTAAAGTCTGTTCCAATAATTTAACAAATATTGATAAACCTGTTGTTGACATACCAATTGGACGATGCGTTGTGAAAAATTCGAGGCGGCTTGCAGCTGGGCTACCGTGGCAGGAATGTTCGCTTGCGGCAGTTGAATCGTCATCGTCGATTGCCCAGGTCATCGTTACTTCTGGAATGATAGCAACCAGCTGGAATGATCGTTCTGGAGCAACTGTTCAGTAGCACACCAAGTACTGAACTGAACGAAACGCGCGAAACATTCGCGCCTTAACATTGTACATCTACGCGCATGCGCTTACAGAATATATACGCATATTGGACGATATTGACAAAAGGTCGGTGTACGAAAAATTGTATGATTGATCTGCGCATAAGTCATTGCGCAAATATCGTATGCTAGAAAGCGAGAGAGAATAATTATTATCATAGAAAAATGTGAACAACTATTTAGTAGCCGATAGAGTTCTCCCCATAGGTTCTTTTCAAATTCTTAATTATTCTCTCGCGATATATATCGCGATATACTCGTCACAAATTTGATTAAAATTTGCACTTGGAATATTTTAACACGTTGGTTGGTCAATTCAAATTTAGAAGAGAAATCATCTTAACTCTCAAATTCGGAAGAAATTCGTCCAACTATATGAACGCAGATTTTGTCTTTTTCAAGAAGCCATAAATTAAAATAATGTTCATCAATTCAATTCAAATAAGATTCAAATAAAGGCCAACAATATTTTTTATGTTTATTTTAGTCTGACTAAAGGTCATCCGTTACATATACTATAGTGAAACTAACTCAACTCGACCCAACTCTGGACATTTCGGAAGCACCTAATACCATTGCTATCGCCATATACATGTTTGTCGTTTCGACCAATTTTTACATATTTAATGACATCTTTAATAATCTTCCAATAACAAACCAAGGGAAATAAAATAAAATTTTATACGATCCTCACGAGCGATTTTAAAATATCGTACAAATTGTAAACCTCTCTTTCTTTCTTTAGAAAATTATATATTGCCCGATGCATTATCGAGCATTAAGCATTAGCGAAGCGTTCTTACCTTCAAAGGAGTCTTCTTCCGCTTTTTGCTGCAATATCTGATAAACGATCGAACGACACCAACTTTCCGCACTGGGAAAGGGCACCATCTGCATCCATTTTGAGAGGAGAACTACGATTCTACATCTACTTTCAGGTTTCGGCGGTAAAACCTGTATGTGGTGGCAGTCCGTGCTACATCCATTTTTAGGCAGTTTATGTCCGTGCTACAACCATAATAGCGTACTTGACAAACACGGTCTCGCACGTTGTTACGCATTTATAACATGAATTAACATGTTAACATGTGCAAAAAAAAAAGAATTGACATTGTGTATTAATATCACGAAGATCACACGAAGTGTCTGGTAATTAGTTGCCAACCCGAAGTGTGAGGGTAGATTGGGTTCAGACAAACATTAAAGTCCCATATCATTTTACGAGATTCCCAATAATTATCGAGTTATTAATGACAGAAATCTGAGGAGTAAAAGCGCGCCGACATAAATGATCCGAAAAGCGTTGCAGCTGCTCGGGGCAGCGATCATGAATTTTTTCCCTAGCGTAAACTAATAAAAAGTGAAAGACTTCTGTAAATCAGTGAAAAATGAAAAATTTTATATGAATTTGTGAAAATCGAAACATTTCACACGACAATTGAGTCGTTCAACATGGCAGTTGCATGTTTTGGATAATTCAATAAATACCAAAGAAATCAAAATGATCAAAATAACAATGTCCGTGTAGTCCGAAGGATATTACGTGACACGCAAAATCCGTTTGATATAATATCCAAAGAAAATGTTTCAAAATATGTATGTACAGGTAATATAAACCTTATGCACCGACGAGATATACTACAAAGACTGATGGCCTTACGGGATTTAGTGTACCAGAGAAATTTCCCTGATGAGGCACCCGGGCGAAAGAGACCGTCTCGCATTTAATAAAATTTAATGGGAACTAATACTTTTCAATCCTTTTCTTCGGATCAGAAAGATTCAGAATTCAGACATATTCAAAATGTCAATACTTTTTAATACGTTTTAATTCGACATTTTATACAGGGAAGCAGGACGAAGGGAATGGGATGCGGGTAACGATACATCATGCGTCTCCAGACGTGTCAAATCGTTTATTATACAGGAGACTTTGATACGGCAACATGTATTCGAATATTTAATCGTCCCATGGACCACTTATATATAATAAAAAAAAAATTAACGCGGATAAATGAACGATTCGTATCAATTTTTCCTTTTCTTATAGAGCAATGAAAGAGTAAATTAGTATCGAATACCGATTAATATCATACATCATGATGTATGGTATTAATCGGTATTCGATTTTCGATACTGGAGACGCATGATGTATCGTTGCCCGTATCCCATTCCTTTTGTCCTGCTTCCCTGTATAAAATGTCGAATTGAAACGTATTAAAAAGTATTGACATTTTGAATATGTCTGAATTTTGAATCTTTCTGATCCGAAGAAAAGGATTGAAAAGTATTAGTTCCCATTAAATTTTATTAAATGCGAGACGGTCTCTTTCGCCCGGGTGCCTCATCAGGGAAATTTCTCTGGTACGCTAAATCCCGTAAGGCCATTAGTCTTTGTAGTATATCTCGTCGGTGCATAAGGTTTATATTACCTGTACATACATATTTTGAAACATTTTCTTTGGATATTATATCAAACGGATTTTGCGTGTCACGTAAAAACATTCACTCCAAAATAAAAAGTATATAATTCACTCCATGATAAAGTGGAAGAAATCACTTTATACGAATGAAAAGTCACTCTAACTCGAGTGAATCGGTAGTTACTCTACTTCTCGAGTGAAAATTTCACTCCAAGAAATTTAGGGAGTAACTAATAGTTGCCATTCTTCGCAACTCGCAACTAGGTATTTGCAACCTATTCTGAACGGGACTTAAAATTTCCGACTGTTTGTCACGATCGCGTAAAAGTAACACAAGTATAATGCAAACATTAAGTCGATCATAATCGTGCGTGTCAAATAATTCCACGCACTTTTTTACGTTTCTGTTCCTTTTAGCTAAACCAGGTTGCACTTTTTGCCGTTGGAGTGAAACAAGTATATAAATTTATGTTGGAGAGGAATGGAACGGTTGAAGAGGAATGGAGGAGTTTCAGTGCAGCACTAGTTCAGCTAAAAACAAGAATTGTTCGTTTTCGAAAATATGTGCATCATCGCGATAAGTTAGAATGAAAAACACATATACTTTCTTTCACTCCAACTTATTGCACTAGTGAGCACTAGTTCACAAATTCTTTAAAAACGGACAGATCTGCACCAATAAAAGATGGATGTAATCTTATTACTTTAATTTATTAACTTCGGACCAAACCCAGCATCCAACTCATTTAGAGATTACTGAGATAATAAATTCTCCTGTTGAATACAGATGTGCAAAATTCATTGTGAAGACTTGTGATTTTATCTAACTAATAGTGAACGTACGAAGTTCCAAAAACAAATTTCTCGTATTTTTAGAACGTATTAATAAATAACAAAGTTAACTGTACGATGTAATTTATTTCGTTTAAATACACTCAGTTTCTCGACAATGACAAATGTTTCGTTGTCTCTCAACAAAAATCCAACAGACTTCTTGAGATGTACCAACTGAACGCTCCTATTTTAATTTATATATGTAGATACACATAATATATACACATGTTACATACACGTACACATATACATGTATGTATATATGCATACATATGTATTAATATACACCCAAACATTAATTTATTACATTATACGAATGTGTTATGTTCCTACTTCAACAGATGTAGGTTTGATTGAAGAGAAGGAATTTTCAAGAAACTAAATGAAAAAAAGAAACGATCCGTCGTGAAGAATGTGAAATTCCTTTGACACTTTTAATCAACATTAAACTATGTCTAAACGGCTCAAATTATTTCATACGCATACATATTCTTGTTAATACGTAACGCAAGATTAATATTCATATATACTTGATTTCATAATTCGCACAGTATAATTATATTTCGATGATTGTACTGATGGAGTTTCGTCATTTCGACGAGGACTCACTTATACATTGGGATTCTGCTGATACAATTGAAATTACAGAAGATTGAAATTGAAATTCATGAAGCTTATAGCATTAAATTGCAATCATTATTTTCACGACTGAATGTTATGAGACACAAATTGTGTTGGTCATGTTCGCATATTTTTTGCAATAATGATCTCCTTAAATGATAAGCACAATCGAAAAAGAAACTGCCGACGAACCAGAAAGAGAACCGATAATAATTGATGAATTAGTAACATATTACATATCTGTCTTTTCGATCTTGACTTTTATTTCTTTAATCTTATTATTAGCGGACTTTTCTTCGAGCACTTCGCTCTTGTCATTCTCCTTTTCCTTCCCGGATTGCTGCTTCTTGTCTGAATTGCGGAAACGGTCATAACGTGACTCCTCATCATCGCTCGATTTCGATGCTGCCGCTTCACTTTCCCTCAAAATGTCACCCAAGTCTTTGTCAACGTCGTCCCATGTGGATTTCTCATCACCATGAGCGCGATAATCGTCGTCGTCATCCTCGTCGCCCTGGTTACTTTTGCTTTCTTTCATGTTCTTTTCCGATTCCGAGCCGTTTGATTTCTGCTCCTCGATTTTCGCGTATTCCGCGCTACGAGTGCCGTTGTTATCGATCGCAACTACAGCGAGCGTAGCGCTCGCCGACGTTTGTGGCTCGGAATTGACGGGAGCTGCTTTCACGGTTTCCGACGAATTGATGGCGGTCGAATTGTTAGAATTCACATTCGCTGACGATGACGATGATGACGATTGCAAGTGTATTCGTTCCGCTTGACGTCTCAAAGCCTTATCATCATTATCTCTCACATATCTGAAACACATACGAGATTATTGAAATACATCTCGATAGTTTCATAGTATTGACTTTACATTCACGCTGATTCGCGCTAATCATATATTGAGACACGATACCGTTTTAGATGACTACGAGTGGAGCAGTGAAGAGCGACCGCTCTTTCTGTATTTTCACTGCGCGGCAGGTACACCTTACACAGCTCACAATATTGCACCTCCACGCGTTTTATGTACTCCGCACCGACTTTGATCATTTGTTTCGTTTTTGACTTCTTCTCTGTCTCGCTCGTAGTCTCGCCTTCGGCTTTATCTTTCTTCTTGTCGTTGGATTCGTCCTCTTCTACTGTAAATAATTCTAATATGATGTAAGCTCACAGAAAAAAATACGTATTTTATCTAGAAGTATGTACGATATTCGATCAAACGGTAAATTGATGAAAGTAACGGGAAGTAATTGTCCATGTACCGTCAACGTCACCCACGGAATCCAGCGTCATGAAATTATCGAGATTGACTTCCTTGTCATCTTCCTCGGGCGCGCTAGAGTCTGCTTCCGCCTCGCCACTCCCGTTAGCGTTCATTCTCTCCTTCAGTACGCTTTTTCTCTAATGAAACAGAAAAATTAATAAGTTATCTGTAACCTTATAATCTCGTTGTAATCATCGATCACCGCAGCGATCTTACTTTAATGTGATCCAGAGAGCACATGTGCGTTTCAAATAACATCGGTGAACGAAATTGAATCCGACAGACGCGACAGAACGGCGTGAGGAATCGTTTCATCTGACAATGCGAATCGGATAATTGATGAGCGGCTTTCAGAGAACGGTAATTCAATTTGCAAATTGCGCAGAACATAGTACGAGAGGGTAGCGTGCCGCGAATTGCGTCGCGAGCTTCAACGCGTCGTTGTTCCTGCCGCTGCAAGACTCTCATACGCGTAAGAGTCGCCTTGTGTCGCGACGCAATACGTCTCATAGCTGCACTATGGCGATCGGTGAACAGGTGAACAGAATATTCCTTGAATGTTATGCTGTGATGGGCGCAATGCGGGCACTTCAATTTAATGAATTTTCTCCCATCTCGTCGACTTGGTAACTCCTCGGAACCAATAGTTCTATCGCGTTCCGTTTTTTCGTTTTCATCTCTCTCTTCATCATCGCCGTCATCTTCGTCTTCCTGCAATCCCCAGAAAGATGAAGAAAATCAGTATAGCATAATATTAGCAATAAAATTAACAGTAGCTACAAAAAGAACGTGGACTAACATCTCGCTTCTGATCGTCCTCTTCTTTCATATCATCGTCCTTTTCTTCCTCATCTTCGGTATGCTGCCGTTCTCTATCCTGTTTCTCTTTCTTACGCTTGTCCTCTTTATTCTTCTTCTCATCCTCTTCCTCTGCCTCTTCCTCTTCATCGTGTTCATGCGGCTGTATAATGGCAATTGAAGAAATATTATCAACTTATTCTGACATATGATTATGGGACATTAATTAATTAATTAGTTAAGTTACATATAATTCGTGAAAGAAGACGGAAAATAGATTACAGAAAAATACAATTAAAATTACGCGGGTAAAACCATTTATAATGGGAAATTGACTTTAATCTACGATGATGAATGATGGGTTCAACATCGCTGGAACATTGGATAAAAAATTACCTTCTCTTCGTCATCCCAGTTACTCTTATTATCATCATCCTCATCTTCATCGTCGTCGGAAAATTCGGCATTTATGGCTTTGGCCATCTCTCTATCCTTGTCCTTCACGCTGGTTCCAGATCCTGAGTCCTTTTTACTCCCAGTGAGCCTAGTACCGCTACTAATGACACAGCAATGTTTTTTTGGCTTATATTATTCTCCTCCATTCCATTCTCAGATTTCCTTTTTTTGTTTTTTTTTTCCATTGTATCATCGAGCAAAACTTGCTGATAGATGATACGTGGCATATATCGCGAGATATTTATCTAGCGTCGTACTAAAAGCGTCTACTATCCTCTTACTTTTTTTTTTATTTCCGTTGCCTTGCGTTTCAATTTCTTCCCACACATTCGTCTATGCCATAAAAGTTATTACACGGAAGACGCAACGACTAATTCTTTTTCCCTGATTTAGTCGTGCTTGCGAAAAGTGTATGAACTTTAAAGAGAACAATGTTTTTTTCTACATTGAATAAAATATACAATTTTTTGTCAACTCTTGTACGGGAAAACAATTATATTGCGTTTCGACGATACGCTGCGTTTATACATATATCACACATAGTTGTGATTCCTCTTTCTCTATGTTTTAAAACCCTGCGAAAAGTTCCCTCTCAGCAGCGTAGTAGTAGCATTTATTCCGTGCGATTGTGTTTGCATCAATCTTTTTTTTTTTATCAATCGTTTTATTCACATGGATATTTGCTCACTCGCTTCCTATCCTCCTATCCTTCCTCCTTCTTTTCTCGTTTTTGTTTTATTTTATTTATGTATACTTATATGTATATATGTATATATTTTTTTTTAATCATCATCCTGCAACAGTCGTCAATCGTGCAACTCTCCGAAGCAGGACGAGGAAACACACAGGCTATGAGAATAGTATTCGCGCGTACGCCTGGTAAATGTATGAATTAATTACCTCCTACGTAGTTTCGTGGTAGTCATTCTCATACGCTGGATGTATTCTCGTGAGCGTGAGCCTAGCAGCTTTCGGCGATAGTCGAGCGAGTGCAGGGTACGCTTGCGAGCCACCATGAGGACGTCCGATCGAGAGCTCACCCGATGAAATCCACCCCCTCTGCCGCTGCTGCCGCGGGTCGAGATGCGACCTCTATAATTTGAGTTCTGGTGCGATATTCTTCCCCGACTCGAGGTGTATCTCTGAGTCGGGGGTGGTGCCATCTCGCTAATCCGAGGGGGTGGCGGAGGTGCATAGCTCCGAGATGCGGAGTGACGATCCTCGGAACGGTGATACGATGACGCACGTTCGCTCTGTCTCTTGTCCTCGTACACTCCGGACGACGACGAGCCCTTATTATCGTCATAAGGCGCCGATGCGGATGAACCTCCGTACGATGAATACCTCTGTGAGCCGCTACCGCTACCTCCACCCTGCCAAATCAAATTCAATTGTGCTCCTTCCATGTGTTTCTCTCTTTATCTATTTTTTTTTGTTTCGTGTCTCCTGCCTCTCCTTCCTTCTTATTATATTATTTTATTCTACGCACGTATGGTACATTTATGTATTTAGGTATGTGTGTAGGTAGATCAACAATTACATCATCCTTTCCCCTCTTTTTTTGTTATTCCCATTCCTACCATCCATCCATCCATGGATTTTGTTCTACGGGTATACGTAATGCGTTCACGTTTAACTCTCGACTACTATTGCTCCCAATACAGGCTACTCTGACCGACTAATATTGACTAAGCGACCAACTTGCTTGATTAACTGCTCGATCGACCGATTAGGAAATTGTCCGACTAACAGCGTGAATGTTGGTTGGCGATTATAACTGATACGTGTTTCTATCTTTCTCAGGAATTCCGTTTTCCGTCTCCTTGTTCAATTCTCACATCTGCATACAGCAATCGTTTTAGCGCTCGACATGGCCCAACGTCTCGCGTAGCGACTGATTGCCATAACTACACCCGTCCCCGTTCGGATCAATCTACGTGAAACTTGATTTCCTTTCCTTTCCTAAGTATCAAGAATCCCCCTATATACCTGTCCGGTGACTTCTATTATGTGATTTCGCGTAATCGCTAACAACGCTTCGCAACATTTCCGATCTCGGGAATAGTAGTAGCGAGAATCAACGTTCGCTTCCCCCGAGCTAATAAATCGCCATTTTCAAGATATCAACAATCATGTTCTCGATAAATCTCCGTAAATCTCTCCAACTCTCAAGTTACTCTCTCTTATTAGGTATACATAATCGTATCGTAGCGTGCTAGAAATTCCTCTGCAATTCGTTGGACTTCTCGTCTACGTGAGGTACACACGAAGGAATAATCGAACGAAAATAAGGAAGCAGTAGCTATTTTACGTGATCACTCATATTTTCTCGTTTTCGTTTGCCTGTCTGGGAATAATGAGATGAGATATTTCTGGGTATCTATATATGTATACGTATACGTATACACATGTGCATGTCCTTACGTCCACATTTTCCATTCACATTTACCCGCATGCATTATGCTTTCCAAGTATTTTTCGCATTATCGGGTAAAGGATACGCATATAACGCACTAACCATTAATTCTTTTCTAATCTCTGCTTGCCACTTTTTTTTTAACACGAAGGACGTACGCGTCCTATGCGATTGGAAAAAAGCTACGAAATGTATGGACATTCGAAACTCGTTGCCTTCGTAACTTAGAGCTCTCGATATAATTTAGACAATTGCTCGCACGGTGATTGTGGGTGGTATTTCTGTGACAATCCCATGCGTCGTACATATCGTGCAGTTTTTTTTTTTCCCTCAACAATGTCTCTATCTGGTTGCGCACTGAATGAACTTGATTGCGCTTATTATCGCCATATCACGGGGTGATAGTACCTCGCTTCATGCGTATATACGTGTACACACGTGTATATGCACGTATCTATTCCGTTCGACCGTTCGTTGGCTTTTCAAACAATTCTCAAACTTTAATGCGACCATGTGCTCACAGTAAGAGATTATAAATACCATCTAGGTATATCTTTCATCTTTCTATTATTTGACGTTTTCGTAGTGTTCCACTGCCGCAGTGCCCCAACGCAAAAAGAATGACTGTTCGAGAAGCCGTTGGTTCGCGTCGCTTGAAAGGAAAGTATGACAACTTATGAATTCTTCGCCTAAAATATACCGAGACTTTCTTACGTACGAGTGTCCTGAAACTATTTGCTAATCCGTAATTATGTAAGTTATAATCTTTAATATGTATCACGCTTTAATTGGTAAGTGGCAAACTTTCAGGACCATCGTTTTCAAGTACACTATACAAGATACGAAGATAACATTCAAGTTCCCCACATTGAAAGAGATTTCTCGATTATGGAAAGTATGATTGCATACAATTTAAGAAACTCATTAACGCTATATCATAATATTCAATGCTCGGTTTTTATACAAAACGGACGGAAGAAGTCGGGGAAGTCGAGAGAGAAAGAAAGAAAGAAAGGAAAAAAAGAGAGAGAAAGGAAAAAAAGAGACAAATGAGAGAAACCAAGGAAGAGAGAAAGGGAGAGAGAAGGGAAGACACATACCTGGTAAGAGTCAGTTCTTATTCTTTTCCGTGTTGAATCGCTAGACGATCGATGATCGTCCCTTCCAGAATAGGAATCCTGTAAAAAATAATTTAAATGTCGAGTATCTGTTTAAGGATGTAAAAAGCGTTTGACACTGCAATAGTTTTAATATATATATACTTACACGAGGTCTTTTATAACTGTTTGAATGTTCACCACGGCCTCTGCTTGAATATCGCTCTGATCCTCCTAATGAGGCAAATTGATAAAATCAGAACTTTACTAATTTTTTTAAATATTTGTTACAAAATTTGCATGTATCATATTGACATTGTTCTCAGTATAAAGTAATAGCAATGCATAAATATTACCTGAAGTATATTTTGATCTAGAATCGTAGCTTGTTGTAGAATATTTAAATCGACCACCTCGAGAAGATGAATAACCACCTCTGCCAGACATATTGCCTGTGGAGCCACCCCAATCATTTCCTCCACCTCCTCGGCCTCTATAAGACCCACCTCCACGAGAACCAAAACCGCGACCGCGGGAACTCATAGTAGAGCTAAAAATTTTGTCGTTAGACCAATGCAAGTGTCTGTTATTATCTTCTGGATACTTCATATATCTTGACATATCATTATGTTAGTTAATATACATACGTATATACATACACACATATGCATATATGTATGTATGTATATACATACACATACATATATTTACTATTAATTTGTAAAATTAACAGAACAAACTATTGATATATAAATGCTTTGCATAAAAAACATATGAAGTATGAAACTAGCAGTTATTAAAAAAAATAAAAAGAAATATATATTAAATATATATATATATTTTCATATAAAATATATACATATATTTTGTATGAATAATACTTGTAGTTACTAGTTTTAATAAATATTATCATTATTATTATTGTTACTACTATTATTACTATTGTTATCATACCAACCTGTATTTATTATAACCATAGCTCATGGTTGCAACTTATCGCTGAGTGAGACAGGGATATATATAGAAAGAGAGAGAAAGAGAGAGAAAAAGAAAGGAGAGGGGGAGAGCTATGGCGGATATAGTGTCCCACTAGTCTATGAACAAAACATATATTAAAAATATTTTCATATAATGTGCACCGCGTAAATTGTTTATTTATAGAAACGACACATCGATAAGTTCTTCACGATTACAAGTTGCTACTGTACTTCATTAGATTTAATGTGGCGATTGCGTGAACGATGTAAATCCGATAATATAACTTTGCTCAATTGCTTGCAAGCGAGATAAACAAAGTTTTTTACGCGAATATGATACAACATACCACCGAAGCGAATCTCTACCGACGTGATATACACGAGGCGCGCGTAGCGATACTACGCTGAGCAGCCGATGGCTGATGGTCAGATAATATACCTCGGGAAAGGATCGATTTGCCATGAATTAAAGACTACCCGATCGAAATATCAATAATTCGGTGTCTACGGCCGCACTCTCGGTATCTCTTAGCATCGTGCGCGAGCAACCATGATAACGCAGTAGAAAACTCACCTCACTCAGTGGAAAAGGCCACAGCCTTTACTCCCTTCTCAGAACGATGCGATTGCACGCGAGTTCTCGATTGGCACTTTGATACGTATAGAGAATACCTGAAGTAGCTATTGAACTAATCGAAGTACCTGAACTGCAGTAATTCTCGCCGAAAAATCTTCACGCTCGCGCGATACTCGACACGCAAACTGCAGCCATTAAAATGTCGACGCGAAGAATATTAGGAATATGAAGAAGAGATTTCCGAGAGGCGACTTATTCACGTCTTTTAACGTGTACCAGTGAAGACCTCTTTAGACAGAGATTCGCAACTTCTCGATCTTTACTAATTGACCTTCCGGTAGACCCTTGTACGGGAAATATCAGCCAATCGCAGGTATCTAATGAAAAATATGGAGCAATAGCTGCGTTCAGAAGAACAAAATGATCAGTGAGCGCTAGTGATTCTCGCTCCTGATTGGCAAATACTTCTGGGTTTATGAAGAATCTAAAAGTATGCTCCAATCACAGACAATAATCACTAAGCGCTCTCTGATCACTTTGTTCTACTGAACGCAGCCATTGGCCGCGTTCAGTAGAACAAAGTGATCAGAGAGCGCTTAGTGATTATTGTCTGTGATTGGAGCATTCTGTTAGATTCTTCATAGACCCAGAAGTATTTACCAATCAGGAGCGAGATTCAGAAAATCTAGTAATGTTGTCCAACTGTTGAGTCTACTGAACGCGGCCATTATTTCATGAATGACACTAGATATCACGATACTCAGCCAATTAAATTACCCCATTGATGAAATATTATATACGATATTTTTCACAAATTTTCGAAAATAATGACTTCTACACACAGGACGCGGCAGTGTGATAACGCGTCAACGCGGCAACGCGTTAACCAATCACAGTCTTTCTTTTCCAGAGTTATATAAAGCCAGCGGCACACGGTGCCTGTTTTTGTGCTGGCTTAACTGTAAAAGAAAGCCTAATATTACATGTGCATACGACAAGCTTTTCGGATACATTGATTGGCGTATGCGAAGCAATCCTAGAAATATTCTGTTTGTTAACCAATCAACATATTCGAAAAAATTGTCGTACGACAAATATAAAGTCAGCGGCACACGGTGCTTGTTTTCGTGCTGGATTGCTTGCTGGATGAAAATACTGCGTTCTGATTGGTACATTTCCGAAGATGGATGGAAATGCACCAATCAGAATGCAGTATTTTCATCCAGCAAGCAATCCAGCACGAAAATAAGCATCGTGTGCCGCTGGCTTTTTATTAGCCAAAGACTGAATGGCTGCGTTCAGAAAACGCAACGGTTACACAACGGTTGAGTAATTCGTCAACGTTATTGGTCTGAATGTAAGGATCTAACAGTAAGGACCAATAGTTACTAAGCGCTCAGTGAGCGCTTTGTTTTCTGAACGCAACCAATGGCCGCATTCAGCAGACTCAACAGTTGGACAACATTACTAGATTTACCACTGAATCTCGCTCCTGATTGGTAAATATTTCTGGGTCTATGAAGAATCTAAAAGAATGCTCCAATCACAGACAATAATCACTAAGCGCTCTCTGATCACTTTGTTCTACTGAACGCGGCCATTGATCAACGCGTTGACGCGTTGCCGCGTCCTGTGTGTAGAAGCCAATAAGGGCCCAGTACCGCGATTCTGTAACTTGTTATTGGAGTTAACAACAGTTTCGTTATTGTTGCACAGCTTTTCTACGGTATACAAAAGCTGCGCGACGATAACGAAAGTGTCGTTAACTCCAATAACGAGTTACAGAATCGCGGCACAGTGGTGCAATTCTGTAACTCGTTATTGGAGTTAACGACACTTTCGTTATCGTTGCGCAGCTTTTGTATACCGTAGAAAAGCTGCGCAACGATAACGAAAGTGTCGTTAACTCCAATAACGAGTTACAGAATCGCGGTACAGTGCTGCGATTCTGTAACTCGTTATTGGAGTTAACGACACTTTCGTTATCGTTGCGCAGCTTTTCTACGGTATACAAAAGCTGCGCAACGATAACGAAAGTGTCGTTAACTCCAATAACGAGTTAAGCTAAGATTCCATGCATGCGGTGAGCTCCGGCAAACGGCTGCGGTGACCAATCAGGAGGGAGGCGCAAGTCCGGTTGCGGCAAGCTCCGGCATGCGTCTGTCTCCTGATTGGTCACCGCAGCTGTTTGCCGGAGCTCACCGCATGCATGGAGTCTTAGCTTTACAGAATCGCGGTACTGCAGTTCTGGAAAATGGGTGTAGCAAACTTTCACCCGGTTCTTTTTAGCTGCACTGCGGAACTAGTGCAATAAGTTAGAATGAGACAACTATATTTTTTCTCACTTTAACTTATTGCACCAGTTCAGTAGTGCAACTAAAAAGAACAGACCATTTGTTCCAGCTCAAAAATGAATGCAGATGGCGTATCAAGCAGTCCTGAAAATCGGTATCGGCCAAAAGGCCAAAACACCGGGATGGCCGTTCTCAGGCTTCTTTCTGTGCTGCGACTCATTCATACATAACACACAGGTATGCGTAAATTTATAAAATGGCTGCCACGGCGCTATGTGTGCTGTGTGGCTTGAGAGAGATTTCCCGCTACGACTTGTAACGCGACGCGCGGCGCTAATCGACGAAGATAACATATCAGCTAGTTCCGGGTCGTCATGGAGAATCGAGGTAATGAGTTAGCAGTGACTGTGTCAGCGTTATCAACGTTACCTGCACTGCCAGCGATAGTGAAGGAGGAGCCTGCTGAGCAATCTAACTCGAAGCAAGACACACAGCAATCTCAACTGCAGGATGTTTGTCTCGAAGAAGAATGCGCCGATCAACGAATTGAGTGCACTACCGAGAGTCAGGAGAGCGAAATGCGAGCATTTCTGTCAAAATGTATCTTCTGCAGCAAGATATTCACTCTGGGAGACGAGCCGAAACTTCTCGAGTGCTTGCATGCAGCTTGTACAACGTGTGTTAATAATAAGCTCAGTGATCATAACACATCAGTTGATGTGGATGTATTGTGTATGTAATATGTGTATTCTTTTTTCGATTTTTAGTGCCTCTTAGCGAATGTAACATGTATTCAAATCAAACTGTAGGTGTGACAATACAAGTAGTTTCTTACTTTGGTATTCCTAAGTGTAAGATTATTTTCCAATCTAATATTTATAGTTACATTTTGTTTTTACAGTGGAAAGTAATGTAATCATGTGTCAAATTTGCAACGTTGCCAGCCAAGTAGAAAACCTAATTGAAAACAGGTTTCTCTCCAAATTGTTAGAAGAAGATACCAATTTAGGAGTGGAAGATGAACTTAAAGATACAGAAGAGGAAAAGAAATGTACTAGCTGTCACGATAATGTTACAGCTACTAGCTGGTGTGTCGAATGTGAAGAATTTATCTGTCAGAATTGTGTTATGGTAATTATAAACTCTGTATTAAATAATACACATGTTCTGTATAGGTACAGGTCACTTTTGTAATAAAAGTTGGTTTGTGGTCATATCCTACACTTCTATTCTCTTTAAATAATTGCCCAAGATATTAATCCATGTTGGATGAAACTATTTTCAGGCACATCAGAGATTGAAAATAACTAAGGATCATACAATTAAGCCTAAGGATGAAGTAGCAAACGATAGAGATAATGTAACCAAAAAAGGTAACAAGAAGATACCCGGATGCTTATTTTGTATGATCCACTCGCACGAACAGTTATCCTTGTTTTGTCAGACATGTGATAGATTAACATGTAGAGATTGCCAACTCAGTGAGCATCGTGACCATAAGTACAAATTTATTCATGAAATTGCTGCTGAAACACGTTCCTCTGTGTCTACTTTGCTCAAAGAAGTTAGGTAAGGTTAATTTATATTGCATACAATTCTTTTCTTCAATAAAGCACCAATAAAAAATACGGATAATTTACTGTTATTAATTTTCAGTTACAAACGGGTGTTGTTGAGAAGCGCAATGAAAGTTATAGAAGATAGACAAATTTTAATATTAGAAAAGAAAAAGAACCTTGTTCAGGATATAACTCAGATGGTAGTACAGTAAGTATACATCTGTATTATGCATCTACTCTGATGAGATATTGTTCCATTCCCTAATATTCTGTCTCTACTTTAGGCTGACGAATGCGATCAACACTAGGGGGAAGCAATTGGTGATGCGATTGAATGAAGTGTGCGACCAAAAGCAAAATACACTTAATGAGAAAAAAGTTGCTCTGGACCAATTGTCTAAGCTGACGGATCATTGTATACTTTTCGGCACCTACGTCCTGAACAAAGGCTCCGATATGGAGTTATTATATAGTAAAAAGTACAGAATGTAGATGCAAATGTAGATATGAGCGCGCCTTTATGTGCGTGCGTGCACATGTATAATGTTAGCGTCATCCTGTTTTACATCTATTTGTTATATTAATGATTCGTATATGCATTACATAGGTCTGTCACGAGCCACTTACAGAGGATAAAGAGCCGACGAGCCGATATACCTAATCCGGAGATACCAGTTCGAATACATTTGTCTTTAGAGAAAGTACCGGACCTGATAAAAGGTACAGTCGATATTGAAATAATCCCTCGCTTGTGAGCAATCAATTTAACCCGATTAGTCCAATAATGAGTAATACGAGAACTGTTCTCGTGTCTCTGCAGTCGTGTCATCGATCGGGGCTATAGTCGTCGACGGTAGAGTGTATCCCTCTCTATCGCCCACAATCTGCGGTAACACTGCGGTAGCTTACAACGAGTCGCATACCGAACAAAAGCAAATGACCAATTCGACGAACGCTCATACGGATGGTGCCGTACCTGTAGCGCAACAACAGGGGTTGCCGTTACCAACTGTGTTGGTGACACAGCAATCCAGCAATGTCCAACCAAACTCCTACCAGCAAGTGCCTCTGCATCTACCGCCGCAACAGCAGCAGCAGCAACAACAGCAACACGTTCAACAATCGCAGAATTACATGCAGCAATATGCCGTGCCGCATAACATACCGCCCCGGTCGTCGCCGCAAACGCATCAGCCACGAGTACCCTACACTGTCAACTACAACAATAGGCTACAGCAACCGTTGCAACAGCAAATGATGCATCAACAACGGCCATTGGCCAACTGTCACCAGCAACAAGTCACATCGTCCACGCACCCGCATCAGCAGGTTCAAAACATGGATCAGCACGGGCAGAACGCCAGCCTACGCGGCCTCCTCGCGCACAACCCACCTCCACCACCGCCACTGCCGCCGCCTCTGCCGGCTCCTGCTCATCCATCATTCCGGACATCCAGCAATCACGTACAGTATCGATTACCACCTGGATACAGATACTCCTCAGGTGGGAACCCTCAGAAAGGAACGGTGCCACAACCGCCGGTACCACCGCCTCACTCGTACCAGCCGGTGAACGCGGCTGGTACGCCTGGGACGGCGCGCTTGCAGCAATGTAACTTGGCGTCTCCGTCGGCGGCGCAACACCACGCCAACTACCCTGTACAGCATTCTACTGCACGCTGGCATATACCTCAGCAGGTGAATCCCTGTATACCTTTCTACGCGTCGTCCCGTCATCAGCACGTGGCACCTCACATGCCAGTCCCTTTTAATGACGCGTACAAGATCACCCTAAGGAATCAGCAAACGAGTAATAATCAAAAGTACAGCGGCAACGCGAGCGAACGCAGTACGTGCGACAATCCGCCTCAGTCACAGAACTCGTCGAATATCATCGGCCACGCGGTCAGTTCGTCCGTGCCCAAAACACCCAGCCCGGTCACCACTCCCGGCAAGCCGGACGAGACGGAGAAGAGCTTGGATAAGTTCTGCCAGAAGTCGTTGAATGATTTGATGCTCACCATCGCGAAATTGGATAGCAACGGTATCGTGGTGATACCGGAGGCTCAGAGAAATCAGATGGACTCCGCGCAGGTTGACAGTTCCACCGACGAGGATATGAACTCGATGGCTGAGAACACAACAGGTTGCTTATAGTAGACGTCGTGTCATGTGATCGCGTCGTGAAATGAATCTCTTTTGATGGTAAGTTACTTTGAAGCGTGTATTTGCTCCTTTCAGCGGATAATCCGAAAAGTACTCCGGCTTCGATGGTCATGAAGGACGACCCGAACGAAGACTGGTGTGCAGTATGTATGGACGGGGGTGATGCGGTTCTTTGTTGCGACAAATGTCCAAAAGTCTTCCACCTTTATTGTCATATACCCAGTCTAGAATCTTTTCCAGAGTAAGCATTTTATTTCGCTGACAATGCTCTAGTCTCATCATCTCGCTGTTACTAATCCATCTGGCGTTTCTTCCAGCGAAAGTGAAACTTGGCAGTGCATGTTGTGTACGAATGTCCTCGATTGTACGGATGACCCATCGAGCGGTGAAAAGAGGTCGAACAGTATGAGTACTAAGGAACTACGGATTGCGCAAAGAATCGTTTTGGAGCTCTACTGTCAGTACGAACAGAGTCTTCCTTTTCGAGAAGTCGTCTCAAGCGAAGTAACAACATGTTATTAAACTTTTATCTCCTGCGTTGAATCTTCGCATAGCATCGAGAGTAATTCGGAGATCATTTTTGTCCCAATAGATTACCGACTACCATCGGATTATTAAGAAACCGATTGCGTTGGATATAATCAGGGATAAATTGAAGCTCGATCATATTAATCATTATACGGATTTGAGACAAGTCATGGCAGACATCAGGCTCATGTTTAAAAATGCTTTCACCTACAATCCCGTAAGTTGCCTAAGATAGTCTAAAAAAGTTTCTTGATTTCTCTTGTTGAATTTTGTCACTCGTCGTCTCCCCGCCTCCTGTGACCTCTATTCCTCGTTTCATCGTGCCCTTGGCTGTCTCGTTATTTCCAGGTCGATTCGCAAGTATACCAAGAAGCTAGGAATTTAGAGGAATTCTTCGAGAAGTTGTTATTGAAATGGGCACCTAATTATGCGTACGACGATCCTTTCCTTGCAACCGACAAAGACGAAGAAGAGGAAGTATTTCCACCTAATAGAAAGTATAAACGTATAATTAGCGACTAATAGGATTGGATGCTGCGTGAATGAACTTGTTATAAATTGTACTTCGCCAAGATGATGTCTGAGGCGAAATTACTCTTTTATGGCGACTTTTATGCACCATTTATTAAATTGTTAATTACATAATTTGATAGAATGCGATGAACATTGAGATTATACCTCAATATAGTTGATATGTTAATATAGTTGAACGCTAGAAAAAGTTAGAAGTCAAGAGAGAGAATGAGTATACGTTCTGTTTTATGCAGAATTTATTCACAGTTGAGTCTTCTTACACGTAACCTCTGTATACTGTTTTCGATTAGAGAGAAGCGTTTTCATGTAACAGTGCGATGATAAATTCATTGCGATTGAAAACAAGTATAACTTTACAGTTTCTTTTTTCCGACACATCTCGTTTTTCGGATACGTATTTTAACGTTTTTATGTCCGCGAGAAAACGCGGTCAGATTTTTGAATAAAAATCTTCAATATGAACGTTGAGCATATTATCGCTTAAAATTTTATCGCGTTTGTTCACCTCGTGGTATGCTTGTTAGCAATATATTGATTAATCAAATACATAAGATACACAGATTAATCAAATAGATATATAATGTAACTATACTTCTTAATAAATTTTTTACGAATTTCTTTCATCTTTATACCGTTGCATGCAAAGTACATTGTTTATATAACGTATATGCACATTTACTGCATAGCAAATAAAGATCTATTTATAATTTTCACTATAAACAAATATACAATTATTTAGCTAGATATCAGGGACTTGCAAAAATTTTTCAGATCTTTCAAATATTTTTCTTTTGTCAACAATGAAACAATATTTTGAACGAATAAAATTATTGATATAATAAACTTGCAAGTCTCTGATAATTTCCTTGTAACATTTCTGAACTATAAACCATGATCAAGATGTACATTTCTATCATTAATTATGAGTGACTGAAAACAATTTGCTCATATAACGCAATTTCTATTGAAGTAATTTATAATAATATTACTGATTTTACTGATAAATAAAGGTAGTAATATGACTCAACGGTAGAACAAACGGGCCATTACTTTTCAAGTAACTTTATTCAAAAACTCGACTCAATAACTGGGCGAATAATCGATGACGTCATATGTTTTGATATTACTAGAGCTGTGTTCCAAAATTCACAGCCAGTACTAAAAATATATAGACTGCGTTCCGATATTCACTGCTAGTACTGAAAATATATAGTTTATGTTACATATACTATAGATTTTCAGTGTTGGCAGTAAATATCGGAACGCACCTATAGGGTGCATTCAGTACTACAACCGCTCACTGAGCGCTAAGTGAGCTCTTGCATCTGATTGGTGTATATTTTTAAATCTAAAGGAATATACCAATCAAATGTAAAAGCTCATTGAGCGCTCAGTGAATGGTTGTAGTACTGAATGCACCCATTGTCTATGGTTGTTACATGTTTGGTCAAATTGGTTAGGTTAAATTAGATTAGGTTAGGTTTGTTTGGTACAAATAAATAACAAAGATAGCTTTTTGAATGGTGAATTCCTTTAATAGATATCTTTAGAAGAATTTGTTAACAATCAGTGTTTTGTAAGATTGCTCTTTCATACTGTCTTGTGTAAAAGAGAATAAACGATCGAATTCATGCATAATTTATATCCGTGCTTTTGTAAGTAAGTATATTTGTATATATCATAAATGAAATAATATTACAGATAATAAGCATCTTCTCTAAAATAAAAAGAGAATTATAGTCATTTGTTAAAAATTATATCTTTAATATTCTATATTGCTTATAATTTGGACATATTTTATTTAATGTATCCCAAATATAAATACTATGTTTAAAACTTAAAACATGGTCATATATACAACAACATGTAGAGCTGAGATGAAAGTTACATATTTTTTTAAGCAAATTTTCAGCAAAAGTTTTATTTTGTTTTATATTTAAATTGTTAATTTTAACAGATATCACAAACTATGAATATGGAAGCTGCTGTTACAGAACGTTTACAAAAGCTAAGACAATGGCAAGCTGAACAACAGGAAAAGCTTCTCAAGGAGCAACAGATGCAAAGAGAAATATTGAGTTATGAGCAGGATCGTATTTACAAAGCACTTGGTTTATCTGTACATGATTTTAATGACCTTGTCAAGAACACAAAGAATGAGCTTATTATTCACAGTATGATAAGTGAGGATAAAGCAATGTCAAAAAGTATAGATAATGTTTTAAAAAATGTGAAGAAAGGAATAGTGATAGACAATAATGCATTGCATAAAGATCATAATGAAGAAAAAGAAACTGAGATATCTGATTATATTTCTGCAGCTGTTGATGACAGTAGAAATTCTTCAAAGGATCACAGTTTCAGTATACTGCAAAACAAACAATTGGATGCTAACCTACTGATAGAAGGAATAGCGCCATTATCGTTGAATAATGTACCATCAAATGAACATATCTGTTTGGATGATATTCCTGTTCCTTCGTCTAAGACAGATTTTCAGACACTATTGGAAGAGATATTGACCAAAGAATCAGACGATGTGCCACATAGCGATTCGCAGACTAAAATAAAGAAACCATTTCTGAGAAAGGGTCAAGGTTTATCGAGGTTTAAGATGTCTGTAAATCCACCTGCCCAATCAACATCTACAAGAAGGTGTAGCGCATCTTCATCCATTAATATGCAATATGTCGATAAAACAGATAAGAGAATCAAAGCTACAGTAAGAAAAGGTGTAGAAGATAGTAAGAAACTCTCAGAACGCACATCAATCGAAAAAAGACGGAAATTATCGTTGAACACTGCTGCATCATTGAAAGGAAAAGTCCCTGATAAATCTGTCACAAAGCCTACCATAACTTCTAATGGGACTAGACATCTTCCGGAAATGAATGCTTCAGACTTTGACTCGAAGACTGAGAGAGAACTAGAAGAGGTAAGAATATTTGAACTCTTGGAAGAAAAAGCGGAAAACTCGAGCTTCTGCTCAACATCGAGCACAGTACTTGCGTTTTTGCAGCAGTCCACACCGTTTAAAATAAAGGAGCGACTGAATCGCTCCGAGAGTGATGTCGGCGTCGCAAAACAACGACGCGACAAACGTACGAGCGACACGACCGAGCGACTAAGTGCGGGACGGCGACTTGAGCAATCCAACCTACACTCTCATACTCATTCCACCGCTGCCGTTATTGACTCCTACTGGGACACAATAGCCATTGACGACTCAACGGAAGAAGAAGCACCACAGCATCGTCTGATGATGGTCGACGAGATATCACAAAGCGACGAAGACCGGCCGAAAGATCGCGATGCACCGTGCGACGAACGTGCTGTTATAGCCCTGTCGACGGATAGCGACGAGGAGAAAGACGTTTCCACGGAAGATCGTGATACCTTGGTGCGCGAGGACGACCAGCCGGACTCGTCGGTAGCGAGCCACCGCGTTAGATTTTCAGAACACAACGAGTACAGAACTATAGATCTAGGAAACGTGTCGAACGCATCGAGCAGGTCCTCGTTAACGTGCTACCTTGAGCGAAGCAACGGCGACGATCGTTCCGCGAACACCTCGTCGGAGTCGTCCGACGTAGAGGAGAAGTTGCCGTTGAGCTACGAGGACGATGTGTCGACTCGACAAGTCAAAAGCAATGAGAGGGCGATTAACACGTCGATACAATTGTCCTTGCAGCAGGACATCACAAACAGCTCGTATTACCGCTTGGTGCAAGCGCTGAACGCCTCCGAGGAAGAAAACGCTATAGGCTGCGAGGACGAATCGCCCGGCGATGATAACGAGAAAGTCGTTGAAGCGTACGACGAAGAGCAAGCGTCGGTCTTATCGTCGTCGTCGTCGTCATCATCGTCGTTGTCGTCATTGTCCAACGCTCATCGAGGATCGACTGCGCGCATAAGGAAAGAATACTCACCGAAGAGCGAGCCGACAATGGAGAAGACGGACAAGACGAGTGCCTTTGAACCGGAGCTTCTGAAGAGCCGTCTGCTAGAACTGGAGAAGGAGATTGGTATATTCCGGAAAGAAAGTTCAGCCTTATTGCTGCAACGCCGGAAGCTGCAGGAAGATCAGGCGACGCTGCGCAAGGAATACGCAGAGAAGGAGAGAAGTTTCGAGGAGAACAAGAGGAGGGTACAGATCCAACTGGAAGAGGAGAAGCGAAGATTAGCGCGCGAGAAGGCGGCGATGGAGAATAGAATCCGCGACGCCCAAGAGAAGGCGAGACAGAGCAAGATGGAGAGGCAAAAAGCACAGAGTCTGGAGGAGGAGTTGGACAAGCTGAGAGACGAGTTGAACATCAGAGAGAGTCGGTGGAGCGCCGCCGAGTCGAGGTACAAGAGCGAAGTGCGCACGCTACGGACGGAAATCTCCAAGCTGAAGCAAGAAATAGCGAGTCTGCAAACTGCCAAGAAAACGCACCTGAAGAACGCCCGCAGGACGGGCGGCCAGGTGTTCGCGAAAGCTGTCGATCGGCGAGTCAACAAACCTGTCGTCGTCGCGATTTCGTCCAGGGAGGTCCCAGTGAAAACATCTCGAAACTTGCCGGCTGTTTCGCCGAGCGCGTCCGTCCGTGAAGAAGACCACGAAGAGGACAAGGATAAGGCGAGGATCGAAGACGAGCCGGTCGAGGAGGTCGCGAAAGCGACTGGGGAAAATAGCGATCTTGCTGAAACAGGCGAGGACGCACCCCCGAAGAAGAGAGAGATCAAACGAGCGCGGGAGGTTGGCTCGCGCTCGAGACGCAGTGAGAAACTTGCGGAGCGCAGCGCGAACGAGGCGCGCAGGAAGCGGGATTTGTACAAAAATCTGCTGAACGAAGCCACGTCGGACCTGCTGACAGAACAAAGTTCACCCCACGTCGCGCAGGGTATACGCGATCCTCGCCAGCCGATCGCCACGCGCGAGCCGAAGTACAACGACGAATTCTATTCCAGTTCTGCGAGCGAGAGTCTTGAGCGCACCGCGGCGACAGTTCGCGCTGTGAACGGCACGGAACGTTGCAACAGGTCCTGCCGGGTGGACGACGAGCGGGACGAAGAGGACGCGGCGACGGGAGATCGGGACCTGCCGGTGGAGAGGACAGGCTCGTCGCTTCGTCAGCGGGCCGGCGGCATGCCGAGCGCCATGGACGTCGTGCGACAAATCGAACACGCCGACGGACGCATCGAGTATTGGTATTTGAACGGCAACGTGAAGAAGATCTTCCCGGACCAAGGAGTCACGAAGATGATCTATTACAACGGAGACGTCCGCGAGACCGAGCGCGATGGGAAGGTGAAATATTTTTACGCTACCACTCGCACGTGGCATACCACGACTCCCGATGGCCTAGAGATCCTGGAGTTCCCCGAGTACGTTACTTTGTCTGTTTGTCTATTGCTTTTGTTGCGATACGCCTGTCTGCTTTGTTCTCGTACATTCGACTAACCGGTAACGAAAAAATATACAGCGGCCAAGTGGAGAGGCGCATGTCCGATGGTACCGTCGAGGTGTCGTTCCCGGACGGCGCTACGCGAATAGCACAGGCCAACGGCGCGGAGAAGTGGACGTTACCGGATGGCACGGTGGCGGAGACCTTCGCCAACGGCGACAAGATTCTCACCTTGCCCAACGGCCAAAGAGAAATCCATACGAAAGAGCACAAGGTAAAGGCTGCTCTTCTTTCGTGCGGCTCTCATGCGTGCATTTCTATCGTATTGTCTTTCATTGCGTCTCTGCCGAGTGGTCGGCGTCTCTGCCGAGTGGTTTCGGCATATACTTAAACATGTGCGAATATTTTAGAGACGAGAATACCCCGATGGCACTATAAAGCTGGTATATGCGGACGGTACTCAAGAAACGCGTTACTCCAGCGGAAGGAAAAGATTGAGGGACAAGGATGGGAATCTGCTGATGGATTCCTACGACACTTGAGTTCCTCTTTTGGGCTTCCTCAAGAACTCTTCTTTGAATCGAGTTTCATGGCAGTCGCGAACTCGTATTGTTACAGCTAATCGCACACCTATGAGAGTGTTGCGACACAAGTGATGGTAAATGTTATGTGCAGAAACTATTTTTACACAACGAATAGTTTGACGAACAAGAGATGAAGAAATATTGCGAACGAAGATAATATTGAGAATAAAGAGTAATGATGTTCGATAGAACGTTCCTGAGAAGTGTCTGAAGTCTTCATTTTTAATTAACATAACAGGAATAGCATCGAGTATTCAAAACATGCGCTTTTTCTCGCCATGCACTCGTGATCGCAGGGGCGTACCAAACTTGTAAGAAAAAGAGATGTCTCCGGGCACTTTAGGCCTATCAAGATCTGTTTTCATCGGTAATCTTAAATTGTTTCAATAATTTAATATTAACTATTTCTTAGGCCCAGTTCAAATTGGAGTTTGAACTAAGCTTAGCTAAGCGGCTGTTACATTTAACGTCATGGTTAAACTTGCGTTGCGTTCCACGTCACACTTATAACTGTAGTTTATTTAAACGTATAATCTGTATAAAGAAAGTCCCAAAGATGTCTCTTTTTTGTCAAACATGGATTGTGGTTGGTTAATAATAAATGGTCGGAAATAGAACGGGAGGAAGGACGAAAACAAGTCGCTCGATTTCTGCTAGCACTGCAGTAACAGATTCTTTGAATAAATGAAATCGTGCATGAAAATCAACGTCGTCAAATTCTTCAATGTATAATAGTCGTTTTCTTATAATTCTCGGTCGTCGATAAATGAAATTTTCAAAATCTTCATCTTTAGATAAAGTATATGTATTCTAAAGCCATATATCAATATATTTATACCTCATTTTGTATATATTATTTTCCTTTAATTCTCTGGCATATTCAAAAACTCGTGACATAAACTACGGTTATAAATGCGACGTAGAACGCAACGCGAGTTTAACCATGGCATTTAACCATGACTGCGCGAGATTTCTGTATAGACCCAGTTCCACAACTTGCTTTAAACGGAGTTTAAAGCAAGTTGTGGAACTGGGCCATAGTTTTTCAGAGTCATATATTGAATTGGAGTTATACTATAGCAGTCTAGTTATACTATAGAAGTCTATGCACAGAACGTGACAACGCTTGCGCAGAACTAGGCTAGGGAACACTGCAGTAGTACAGTACACAGGCCGTGTTCCAAAATTCACTGCCAGTACTGAAAATATATAGTTTGTGTCACGCAAACTATAACTTTTCAGCGCTGACAGTGACTACGTTTACACAAGGTTAATCCGGATTAGTAACAACCGTAGTTAGTGAATTCTTTGATTCGATTGGTATATTCTTTTAGATCTAAAAATATACTCTGATCGGATTCGAGACTGCACTAACTACGGTAGTTACTAAGCCGAAGTTAGAAGCCGTGTAAACGTAGTCATAGAATTTTGGAACATGGCCACAGTAACAACCCTCTCCAAGGGTGACAGGACATGCGCGGCCGTATCACCTAGGCTGTGTTCCAATATTCACTGCCAGCATTAAAAATCTATAATATACGTGACATAAATTATGTATTTTCAGTGTTCACTGGCAGTAAATTTTGGAACACAGCCCTAATCAATAGCATTACAGACATCTTTTTCTATCTCACTTTTTTGCAGAAAAAATATACTATATGTATACTATATCTCACTCTAACTTATTACACTTAGTTCAGCAGTGCAGCTAAAAAGTTCAGACTATCTTTCTGTCACAATTGTTAATTTCAATTTCTGCTCTCTCTCTTTTCCTCTTTCTATATGTATATATAGGGTGTTTGAAAGCTTATCATACAGACGAAAGTTGGAGATAGTTGGGTGTAGCCGAGAAGTAAAGTCATGTACCATAATGTCAAATTGGCAATAGTTATCGAGTTATTAATTGAAACATGTGAGCCAATGAGCGCGTAGAGAGCGCTGGGCGGCCGCCTCTTCTCGCTTGCGCTCACTCGCTCGTCGTTCGCGCTCGCTCGCTCCTCGTCGCGCGCGCTCGCCTCTTGTCGCTTACAGTTGCCCCTCGCTGCGCGCGCTCGCCTATACTGTATATATATACTGTATATATATCAAACATCGATTAATGGAGTAAAAGTAAAATCATTTGAAAATATCGATTAATTGAAAACAAACTCGAAATCGGTTCTTTCGATTAATCGATGAAAATCGCCCATCCCCCATTGCATCGTGCAAAGAGTCTTTTGTTCGCCCCTGCGGCGGTTGGATGTGGTTCCCGTAACTATGCATATTTTTAATCTTGGGGACTGCGTACGCGTTATCCCTGTTTCTCCTTTAATTACAAAATCATTGTGATTGGCGTTAGAGCAGTGTAATAACTCTGCTCAGAGCCATATATTGAATGAATGAATGAATGAATACTGCATCGTGCATGCGTAGGCAAAAAATTAACCACTGTTTAACGCCATCTAACGGTCTCGCTAAGGAAACTATTGAACAAGTTTGAATATCAACCAAGATTCGAATCTTGTTGATTGTGAAAATGAACATTGCGTGTCATTACAGTCGGACTCGTGGACATAAGAACACAAGTGGCAATACGTTTACAGCATAATCATAACGATGACGACGATGACAACGACGATGATGACACGCAACACGTCATGAACCGCGCGTAAGTCCGAACGGTGATCCTAGCCGCAAGAGAAGGCGAGAATCAAGGTAGGACTATATACGTGTGAATCCCTCGGTCGAAAGGATTGTATAGGATTGTTGACTCGCGTTCCGACAGAAGAGACGACGAGAACACGACGACGAATTATCCCGCGGAATGCCGATTGTCGTGAGAAACTGCCCGCATCTGGCCAACCGCGGCGATCTCGCCGTCATCGAGGCGGCAGTCACCCAGGAGGAACGTTTTCTCAAGTGCAATGATTGCAACACGGACGGACCTAACCTCTGGCTATGCTTGTTTCCTGACTGTCGCTGGGTCGGTTGTTCGGAAGCGCACTTCGACCACAGCACCACCCATAATCAGAACTTCCCGAACCACTGCGCCCACATGAATCTGTCCACCAACAGGATATGGTGCTATTCTTGCAAGAGGGAGATCTTCGCCAGACATATACCATCGCCACCGGTGTCGCCCACACAGGTAGAATTCAAGACAATGGGTAACAAGTTCGCCGGAGATCTTCCTAACAATGTGGAATGCAAGTTTGATGGTTTGGACAGATTCATGCTTGATAAGTAAGCAGATGATATTATATATAATATTATCAAACAAATAGTATAGGATATGTGAGAATAGCATAGGGGATATTATCTATGCTAAACATTTTGTAGTTTTCGAAATATTTAGAATATGACTTCCGAATATTACTACAAGCTTCAAAATATTTCTACCGTCATTATGATGTTTTAAGTATGTCATAGATGTTTGTTCTCAGCTTGCTTTAGCTAGAGAAATAATATAGCTGAAGCATCATTTGGAATAATACTCATTGTTAGAAATAATTAAAGCTCATACGCTTTTATTTTTGTTTCATCTTGAAATTAATATATTTATTGTTATGTACTAAAATTATTATTGAAAAAATAATGGTTATATAACTATTAGATATCAATACTATGAAATTATTTACATATTAGAAATTTGAGGAAGATGCACAAAAGTTGTGTATTAAGTAAAAAACCATGTTTTATATAATCTTTTATTTTAAGGATTTGTTTATGATTACTTTTTATAGACTCAGTCTTCATTTGTTTCATTGTTAATTTTCATAAGTATATGTTTTTGTTTTATATGAATTAAAAATTTTTTTAAATCTTTGCAATATAAATTAATGATAAATTTTTTCCATTTTTTAAATAATTTTTCCCAGCTATAAATTGTCTGAATTTTTTCCTAAATCTCAATATTTCCTTATATCAGTATTACTTGATTACTTATTATATAAGAATATTTGAATTTATTCCAATTGATTACATCAATTCACTTGTATATTAGGATTATTAGTAACATTAGTAATATTAATGGATTACTCTGCTGGATACATTTGTGCTATAACCTGTGCCTGAAACATTTCAAACATACAATAGATTATACCTAAGATGGGATCTATTAGATACTTCAAAACATTCTAATTACATAATGATGTTATTAACTCTATCTCCAGCATTGCTTATTGTCTGGTAGACAGATGGCAGTGATGCAGTGCTCCAAAACAAAAAAAGAATTAACTCTATTAAAAATGCCATAAAGGTTATCAAGTATTTAGTTAAAGCATTTATAGATAAGTAATAATCAAGTTAGCTAATCATATTCTAGAATTTTTGAGAATATAAATATATTCACTTTAGATTTATTTTTTTTACCTAGGCACTAGAACTTTGTTCTCCTTCAATATCTGAAGAGAAACAGAGCTGATGTAATTTTTGACCATATAATATTAAGTCTCTTCCTGCTTAAATTTTAACATTTATATTTTTCTATATGCCACAACCTATAGTTTTTAAAGATCTAATATCTCATTTTTATTCAATATCTTAGTATTGATATTATTGTTGATAATACATCATTATTTAATATTATTTTACTATTGAATTTCCAAGTGATATTTTCTTTATGATCAATAGATTCTATGGAGAGTGGTTTGTGAACAGGATGAATTCGGATAAAGGCAGCTCATTCAATGAAAAGTCTGGAGATTCTCCCGACAGTACAGACTCAGACGAGAGCAAAGACTTCTCTGGGAAGCCGAGAGGCCTAGTGGGTCTGCAGAATATTGGCAACACATGTTATATGAATGCAGCGTTGCAAGCATTATCCAATATATCTCCCTTGACGCAGTTCTTCTTGGATTGTAGTCCTATGGTCAACTACATGTCTAAAGACAGGAAACCAGGGCTGAGCGTGAGTTACTTGAATCTCATTCGGGACATGTGGAATAAGAGAACTCGGGGATACGTTGTGCCGCACGGCATTCTCTCCGGCATTCGCACCGTTCATCCGATGTTCCGCGGTTATCATCAGCACGACACTCAAGAATTCCTCAGGTGCTTCATGGATCAGCTTCACGAGGAGCTGAAGGAGCACATCGAAGACGACCGAGACGTGCAACTGCGGCTGAAAGGACTAGGTGATCATTCCTCAGATGAGGATGAGACCGAGATGGATGGCAACGCGTCCAGCCAGTCCGATGCCGAATACGAGACATGCGATTCAGGCGTAAGCGAACAGAGTTCTCTGAGTGACGAGGGTGAACGCGGCACTAAGAGACGATATTCCCGAGTCTCTCAGACGGAAAAGCTCAGGAACAAGTTCACCAACAGGAGCCTGAAGAAATCGAATGTCGAGCCGGCCACGTTTGCGCCGCAGCAACGCTCGCCGCAGAGCTCGCCAGCCAAACATCGCACCAAGAAGCAGATGAAGATGCGTAGCATCATCAGCGATACGTTCGATGGCAAGCTTCTCAGCAGCGTGCAGTGCCTGACGTGCGATCGAATCTCGACCCGCGTGGAAACCTTCCAAGACTTGTCGTTACCTATTCCAAGTAGAGATCACATCGACATGCTGCACCAAGGCTCCTTGACCCCGCAGAAGGCTGGCCCATGCTCAGATGTAGTCTACGTGACCAATCAGTCTGGCTGGCTGTCTTGGTTCCTACAATGGATGCGCTCGTGGTTCTGGGGACCGGTGGTCAGCCTGCATGACTGCCTCTCCGCGTTCTTCAGCGCCGACGAGCTCAAGGGTGACAATATGTATAGCTGTGAAAAATGTAATAAACTACGCAACGGCATCAAGTTCTCCAAGGTGTTGGAGCTGCCCGAAATACTCTGCGTCCACCTCAAGCGATTCCGCCACGAGCTCATGTTTAGCTCGAAGATCGCTAACTACGTATCCTTCCCGCTCGAGGGCCTCGATATGCGACCTTACCTGCACAAAGAGTGCGTGTCCAAGGTCACCACCTACAACCTGATTTCGGTCATTTGTCACCACGGCACCGCCGGTGGCGGACATTACACTTGCTACGCGCTCAATCACCTCGCCAACAAGTGGTACGAGTTCGACGACCAGTGTGTGACTGAGGTATCACCCGAGACAGTGAAGCATTGCGAGGCATATGTGCTGTTCTACAAGAAATGGTCGCCGGAGATGTTGCAGCTACGCGACAAGTCGATGGAGTTGATGGAGATCTCGTCCCGCGAGCTATCCGACCTCAACTTCTTCGTCTCCCGACAATGGATCAATCGTTTTAATACCTTCTCTGAACCTGGACCGATCGACAACTCAGATTTCCTATGCCCGCACGGAGGTGTGATTCCCGTGAGAACGCAGTTCGTCGACAAGATCAGCATGCCCATACCTCAAGCGGTTTGGGAATACTTGTATAATGCGTAAGTTTCTTCGGGTAAAGTACATGGCGATGCTTTCTTTAATAGACATAGCACGGTATTCATATGGTCAAATTTTATATTTAAGATCGCCTTAGGTCTTATCTTCAGATGCCAATAAAACGACCCGTACGACATCTAAAGATAGACTTGAGGGAATTTTCAATGTAAAATCTCCGAGTATGAATACTGTCCGTAGCGCGATTCATGATTAACTTTCTGTGTGTTTATTCGTCTTCGGTTCTTCCTTTAGATTCGGCGGAGGGCCAGCGTGCACACACCTGTACCAGTGTCCGACTTGCGAAGAGAAGTACGAGTCTTTGCAGAAACGCAGGCAATACGAAATGGAGCTGTTCCAACGGTTGAATCACGCCACCGACAATCCCATGGCCATCTACGGACTGGCCATGGCTTGGCTAAGACAATGGCAGAGCTTCGTCCGCGGCAAAGAGACACAGCCACCAGGACCAATCGATAATAATTCCATCGTTATAAATAAGAACGGGCAAACCAGTCTCAAAGTCGGTGAGTTGTTGGTTTGAGTGATGTGCTCAAGTTATCAATGAAAATCCAACGACAATCTGACAAACTTTCGTTCGTCTACAAACACGTTCTCGTTCCTGTTTACAGGCTCGGACTACGGCCAGATACCCGAAGAGCTATGGCAATTCTTCCTCACGACGTACGGCGGAGGACCAGAGCTAATGTTGCACTCGTGCCAACGCCCGGTGCCCGCTCAGCCTAATATTTCTATACATTCCGCGTCGAATTCGAATTTAATAGATCCGAATGTTAAATGTAATCGCGTAGTAGAGGCTAAGTCCAACAAACTTTGTATCACTAGAAGCTCGGAAACGATATCGCAGCAAGACAGCGCTATCGAGAGCCTAACTTCGGATAGTGACTCCCATCAGACGCAGAGGGACGTGAGTGAGTAAAACTGTCAGAGCTGCGACACGTTCCTTCCGTTGTGAGAAAATACATTTCCATTCGTTCTCTCAATCTAAATCTAATTGTTCCATTTTTGAGATCGTATATCATATACACATACACATACGCTCGGTTCGAACAGCTTGGCACTTTCTCGTTCAGATTCCACACGCAAGACGCGGACAAGATGATCCGAATACTGTGGAACCGAAACAATCGGTGTCGTTTGTAGTAGTTTGGGGACAACGAGGCGATCGGATGACGCAATCGCGCGGCTATGATTCACGTAGAAAATTTCGATAAACAAACTATCATAAGACATAATTACATTTGAAAATAATATCATCGTAAGGGAGCCACCGTTACGTTATTCGATTGTGCAATTTCGACTGCATAAAGTAAGCGCGTTGCGGCATAGACGGCATATTGACTTTGTTCTCGTGATGAAAGTTGGAGACCAGACTTTTCCTGTTTCGTCACAGGAATGGGTGGTTCGTTTGAGAGACTCGTGTCCGAGCAAGCCATCGCTTCGGACGGCGAAATGATGTCCGGTCGTTTCGGTTTCCCACGTCGTCTCGAGGCCGCGAGGAGTCGTCGACGGTCATGTTATAATCGTAAGCTATACGATTTCATAGAAATTACTGAAGATGAAGTACGGTGGGTGGCATAGTGTTATAGTACAAAGGAAAATTTGTTATAGACCGTGTATTATTTAAATATACAGATAGTAGTTCGTATTTTTCGCCCAAAGTCTAGGCCGTAAATGTAACAACCGCGACCTCATTACAGCGAATCAGTTTTTCGATGTTTGTACATTCGCTGTGATGGGTGCGCGTGCGCGCACGCCGCGCGCCCATGCGTGCGTATGTGCGTGCGTACGGCCCGATTCGCACCGATCGTTAGACACGCTGACTCTGGTTTCTCAACTGATAATTTCGTGTTAAATTATTTCAACGCGCATGAACGACGATGCATATTGCGTTACACGCGTCACCCGAGCGCGAATAATTTAACACAAGTTACCAATTGCATTAACAAGTGCGCGTCGATTCGGCAGGAAAAGAAAGAAAAAGAAGAAGAAAAAACGGTCGGTGCGCAAGCGAGGCCTGTGTCATTCCTGCACGTGAGGGCTAGTGGATTCTCTTTTCATTTCTCGTTCACTCCCGGTCAGCTCATGTGTACATACAAATCTAATCGTTACTCTTATATCTTCTCGTTGGTGGTAGCTTCTTTTATTTGGACAACACGTGGAAGACTGATAAAATGATTTTATTTAAAATGAAAAAAAAATCGCACGAGTTAACGTGAGATTGCACGATTGCACTAGTGGCAACTCGAATCGCAAGGTCGAACGTGGCACACACGAGAGAACCTTAATTCACGTTTGTGTTTCTTTCTGAGAGGAGGAACATTCTCGTTGCGATTCGGTAGACTCATTCAGTGCACATACTTTGTATGTTGTTTCTTTTTTCTCACGGGTTCCGTTTTATTACCAAGAATCGCTCATCTTTTAACGGCTGCGATGTCGCGAGTGCATCGCAGCGCGAATCTCAAATGCTCGTTTGAGAATGAGAAAGGAGAGCACAGTGCAATTCGACTTGCATACTCGCGAGGATGCAAACAGCTGTAAAGTTAAGATTTATTGTCCTTAATCACTATGGTAAAAGCGAAGATTCATAATAAAAATGCGGATTGGTTTCTTTATTTATTAAAACAGACTATCTCATCATATCCCCTCGAGATACACAAACGATCCCGTTTCCGCCTTCGTTCCTTCTTTTGCGCGACTCACCTTCTGTCGCGCGAGAAGCAACTTGAAGCGAGAAGCATCTTGCAGAATTAAAAAGTCTACAATCGCGGAGAAAATCATCCGCGCCGTCGATCTGATCGAAGCGGTGCTCTCCGCATCAAATTTAGAATTTGCAAGCAACAAACGACTTATTCTGCATGTTCAGTCGTAATCTCTCGCTCAATAAATTCGATCAAGATCCCTGAGTCTTTTGAATCTAATCAATGCGAGTGCGCGCGACTGCGATCAATTGTAATTAACAATAAGTAAAACCCGAAACAAGCGAAACAAGCGTTTCTTCCAAGACGACGATGCCTTCGTCCGCTAGTGTTGGCTCCGACGTCCGAGATCAGTCGACAAACTCCGCGGGATCTCGTAATTTCTCCGCGGCTCTCAACGAACGAACACAAGCGAGTACTCATGCGCCTCGATTACATTAACCCGGCTCTCGCCGTGGGGGATGCGCGGCTCGTCTCACCCCCGTTCGGGGTGAAGCGGGGCGCGGATACAGCACTGCGAGAGGAGCGCACGCGGGATGATACGTCCCTCTCTCGTGGACCATCGATCGAGCCTTGCGCGTTCAGGGAAAGCTGGCCATATTCCCCCGATCTCCCGATCCCTTTGAAACGCCGCCGTGTTCCCTGCTAGTCGATGCCGCGGATCGAGGGCTCACACGATTCTGGCCTCGCAAGTCGCGGCGTAGATCGTAGGTGAGCAACATCATCATGCGGCTTCGCAATCCGGCTAGTTAGACACTCTCTCGGTTTCATCCTCCTCTCTTTCTTTCTCTCTCTCTCTTTCTCTCTCTCTCTCTCTCTCTCTCTCTCTGTCTGTTTCTTTCGTTCACTCTTCTCTCTCTCTCTTTCTCGCTCTCTCTCTCGCTCTCTCTCGCTCTTTCTCTTCTTTCTTTCTCTTCTACCTCTTCATGAAGCCCCGTTTACATCCGGAGTCGCGGTCGTTTTGAGTTGAACCGCTTCTGCAACGCTTCTACGACTCGTCAACGTCTCTCGTCGTCGTCGATCGTCACGCGAGACTCCACCACCGTCGAGGACCGACCGAGAGGGCGAGCGGCATCTCCTCGGGGCAAGAACATCAGAAGCGGAAGATCCCTTGTCGTTCGGTAAGCGCGACACTCTCTCTTCGTCGATACAAGCGAGAGACATCACTTGTGCGCGAACTGATCTAGAGCTTAGTGGTCTCCGCGGGGATGTTTGCACGGGCTCGCATTGATCGTTCTACGCCGATTGTCTTGCTAGGGGACGCACTGTGGAATTTTGTGCTTTGCCTCGTTATCCTCCTCAGAAAAAAGAATCATCCAATTACACAGTCCCTAATTGTTCCTGCGCGAAACTCCTATAAGGGATTATACAAGTAAACATGTCGCCGTAGAAGCAACAGATAGAGAAATGGCGAATTTCCGTGGATTTTACATACCATCCATCGGAGCCACGGTCAACGTTGCCTGGGAGACTTTGAAGGCCAAATGGCCGGAGAACAGTCCGTGCATGGAGCTGATCCGCGGTGGCGGCGGAGGCGGAGGCGGCGGCGGCGGCGGTGGCGGCGAAGGCATGGGCCAAGGACGGACCGGTCAGGGTCAGTTTAAATCATTCGACGAGGGTGGCGATAACACCGAGATGATGACGATGAACGGGGAGCAGATGTACCAGGATCGAAACGCGGCGGTCGCCGAGGACTCCTTCAGTTACCAGAGGAACGGGTGAGGACACGTACACGGTGGTAACGCTGAAGACCTTACGGATCTGTCGCGGACCATCGGACTCACCGTCTCGGTTTCAGGGATAAAATCCGAGCCGGCAGCGTGAGTAGCGGCGAATTCAGCGAGTACGACGAGGGTGGCGGAGAGTTCGGTGCTGCGGGGGTCAAGATCAACGAATGGCAGGCCGCCTGGAACGTTACAAATGCTATTCAGGTATCGCTAGATCGCAAAAGTCTGCGCTAACGCTCGACGCGGAACTCAACGCCGCAATGTCCAATTGTCAATGAATGTATATAATATATTTTAGTTTATAATATATCATAATTTTGAATATATATTTTATCTTAAAGATCTTGAAGAGCATCCGCAGATAGAAGGTTAAATATTATTGTTGGACACCCATACGGCACAGAAAGTTGCAGCCATATTGCTACAACGTTGCGACAATTTTGCAATATTGCGGCAACGTTGCTGCAACTTTGTGCTGTATGAGTAGTAATTATGTCATTGAACAATACCATTTATACAGGGTGTTGGAGATTGTTTGGAAACGAAAAATTGTGAAGATTAATCAGATCAAACTGAGAAGAAAAGCCAAATACCATTTTGCAAAAATCGCCATAGTTATTAAGTTATTAATGATTGAAAGTGATTACACTTGAGGGCTCTTTTAATTGATTTACTTGAAAATTTGCGTATTTATTTGCAAGGTGGTAATGGTGAACTCTCTTCTTCAAAATGATCTGATCGACAATTATATTAAATGTAATTACGTTTCTTTTTCTTTACCCTTACACGTACACGCACACACCATCATCCGTCGATGTACCCGAATCCCTTGGCAAATTCCAGGGAATGTTCATCGTCTCTCTGCCGTTCGCCGTTCTGCGTGGTGGTTACTGGGCAATCGCCGCGATGATCGGGATCGCGCACATTTGCTGCTACACCGGCAAGATCCTGGTCGAGTGTCTGTACGAGCTAGACACGGTGACCGGGCAACGGGTGCGAGTACGAGACTCGTACGTGGCGATCGCCAAGGAGTGCTTTGGTCCGACCTGGGGTGCTCGGGCAGTTAACATTGCGCAGATCATCGAGTTGCTCATGACCTGCATTCTGTACGTGGTCGTGTGCGGCGACCTGATGATCGGCACGTTCCCCGAGGGCGCGATCGATACTCGCAGCTGGATGATGCTGATCGGCATTTTCCTGCTGCCGCTTGGCTTCCTCAAGTCGCTGCAGCACGTCTCCGTGCTCAGCTTCTGGTGCACGATGTCTCATCTCTTCATCAACGCGATCATCATCGGTTACTGCATCCTGGAGATCGGTGACTGGGGTTGGTCGAAGGTGAAGTGGACGATCGACATGGAGAACTTTCCCATCTCGCTCGGCGTGATCGTCTTCAGCTACACGTCGCAGATCTTCCTGCCGACCCTCGAGGGCAATCTCATCGATCGCTCCAAGTTCGACTGGATGCTCAACTGGAGCCACATCGCCGCGGCCGCGTTCAAGTCCCTGTTCGGCTGGATCTGCTTCCTGACCTTCCAGAACGACACGCAGCAGGTGATCACCAACAATCTACACTCAGCCGGCTTCAAGGGCCTGGTGAATCTCTGCCTGGTGGTCAAGGCCGTGCTCTCGTACCCGCTGCCGTATTACGCCGCGTGCGAGCTTCTGGAGCGCGCCTTCTTCCGCGGCCGCCCGAAGACGATCTTCCCGACCATCTGGACGGTGGACCGCGAGCTCAAGGTCTGGGGTCTTGCCTGGCGGGTCGGCGTGATCGTGTTCACCATCCTGATGGCGATCTTCATACCCCACTTCAGCATACTGATGGGCTTCATCGGTTCGTTCACCGGTACTATGCTGTCGTTTATCTGGCCGTGCTACTTCCACCTGAAACTCAAGAGGAACTCGATGGAACGGAGCGCCGTCGCATACGACTGCTTCGTCATCTTCCTCGGTATCCTCTTCGGCGTGATCGGCGTCTACGACTCCGGCTCCGCGCTCATCAATGCTTTCGAGATCGGCCTGCCCTTCTGAACGGTCTGTCGCGCCGTTCAGGTCGCCTCGGGTCGTTCGTTGTTGTTCGTCTTCCACCGGTCCCCGATCCTGAGACGCGTTCTTCTCGTTAGCGACGCGAGCATCCTCGAGACACGCTGCGAATTAGCAATTAATTAACGGCGATTGATGTCGCCTTGCCAAATGTCCCAAATGATGGCAAACTACGAGAATACTCTATGAGCCTCGTGCGAAATTACCTTCGAAAACGTGTCTCCCCAGGCAAGAGACGCGCCGAAGACGCGTCGGCAGGTCGAGGCTCGGCTAGGTCGCGTGTTCCAGCAGAGCCGCGACCAATTAGCTCGACAATTTTGCATTATGTGTACTACCTACTTTCAATCTCATCGCGTTCACGTTTCCGTGTTGTCTTTTTGCACGTTGTCGCGTCCCCTTCGGGCGCCGAAACTTCCGTTGAGACGATTTTCGTTCGAACGACGCGAGCGCAAAAGCATCCTCGTCTTCCCACTTCGCACAGCAGAGTCTCTCGCTCGTTTATTCGCGGCGGCCGCAACGACCGAATTCCAACATGGCGATTGTTTTTTCCACTTGTTCCGGGAGCTTTGTAGATAAAAAAAAACGAGACGTAGATCTAGCGCGCGCGCGCACGCGCGCGCGGTTAAAACGTGGCGGTATTCCACAGAGGTTTACAAGAAGTGCACCTTCCGCGATGTCTTCCATACGATGCAGTTGCAAGGAGAGCGCAGCCTAACTAACTTACATAGTTGACTACTGTTATCGTATTTTGGATTTTATAATTGTACTCGCGGCCGTGCTGTCATTTTCGCACGGCGTGTTGAATAGTTAGTCGCGACGGCGCGGCGCGCGATCGATTCGCCGACCCGGGTGTGCCCTTCGATAGATGCTTCCAGGACGCGCCGTGTTTCCAAAACCGCGTGAGCCGCCGGGTTTGCGCGATGAAAAGGCAATGGGACGTGCATTGTGCGACGGGTGTTTGGATCATTTGGCCGAAATGTTGGGTGTCAAAGACGCACACCTTCGTGAGAAATTGTCACCGAGAAGAGGAAAGCAAGACACGACCCAGTCAGAACCATGACGTTAATTTGACATTGAAATGTTTGATGAAACGTTGAGGCAACGTTAATTCAACTCTCATCGACGTCGAATCAACATTGTGTTTCTGACTGGGGATGCGATTCGGTGCGACAGAGCGCACCGATTCTAAGCGATTTGCGAGTCACGCTCGGTATGAAGCGCCCATAAAGTACAAAAGTTGCAGCAACATTGCTGCGATATTGCAACGTTGCAGCAATATTGCTGCAACTTTCGTGCTGTAACGACGGGTGCGTACAGTACCGCAGCCGCTCGCTCCAAGGCCAAGTTCATCTTTTCCACGCTTTTGCGTGGAGAGCGTCATTCTGCCTTTGTCGCTCATTATACATGCCGAAGGGAGACAGAACGATGCTCTCAGCACGAAAGCGTGCAAGACGAAATTGCAGGCGAAGCCTAAGCGCGTAGTGAACTCTCGCGTCTGATCGATGTATATTTTGAAATCTGAAGGGAGATACGAATTTCAGACGGTAAATGCAACCAGTTGCGAGGGTCTCCTCTTCTCGCCGTGCGGTTCTTCACGAGAGAGCCCATGAGGTTTCTCATCGCGAGCGAGTAATCTGTCGGACGCGTTCTTCCAGAGCTCGGGAGTAATGCCCGCCGTGCCGTTCGCCCGTCGAATGTTTAACAGGACAGGCGAGAGAATGCACCGGCGACAGTCATGTACATGTGCAACCGAGTACAATTAGCCGTTTAATCCAACGTCTTCCGAGATCTAACAGAGATACGTATCGTTAGATCGCACGTTAGTTTAAGGAGCGAGTATAAGCAGACGTAGAGAGACGCCCCGTGAGAACGCTGCGGAATGCTCCGGCGACTGTCCGAGGGAGAACGGGATTAGACTCGAGAGACAATAATTATACGGATAATAATCGTTAATAAGGTGCAGATTCCCGTAGACGTTTAGATACCATCGACACGCTACCCTAACAGCACAGATGTCCAGAGGACGTCTAAAGTACGTCTTAAGGACGTCCTGGGGACGTTTCTTCACTCTCAGGACGTCCATAGGACGATTATGTGCTGTCTGGGTATAGACCCCGTTCGTCCCAGACAGCGCAAACTGCTAAGAGAGGTCTTGAGTGTGTTTGAACGAAGAAGTAGTCTTTTAGACGTCTTTGAGACTTTCTGAAGTTTGGGTCGTCTGGGTTGCTGGATGTACCAAGACTCCCGTACACACACACACATACACACATACACACACAGACACACACATACACTCATGCGAATCCTTCGATCCGATTATTCCTTTTCGGGAATTCTTGAACCTGACCGTTCTTCCTCGCAGCATCGACGAGCGTTCCACAGGCATGGGCGAGTAACGATCGTGAAACGAGTCTTCCAATAATGTCTTCCAGATCGATCATGTCGCAATCGAGATGATAACAATAATATATATAAATATATACATACATATATATATATATTAACAATAACGATAATAATGTATCACTATTTATTGAACAAAGGTTTTTTGTCGGATAATATATCGAACATCATATCGAGAGTTGTAGGCGTTAAGCGTTAACACTTAAGGCTACGGTCATGGCATAATTGATGTTTCATATCAATGAGTATATCGATGACACACAATGTAAGTAATCGCGCTGTTTCACGAAATCAATTTAGAACGTTAACGAGGGATCATCTTCTTTGTATTGACAATAATTATCAGAAAAATGGTCAGAGATGAGTGTTATACTTTGGAATCCTCTTCGCGGTGACGACATAGATGCAATATGGCGGGAAAAAAAGAGAGAGAGAGAGAGAGAGGGAGGGGGGGAGAAAGAATATATAGGAGGGCGTGTAGAGACCGAATAGTAACGTTGTTTACTCACCTTACGAAACTTGTCGATACACGTATCGTCGTCCGACGAGGCCGACGAGGAAGAGTAATGACTTAGAGTAGTTGTTACGGACGATGATCGAGAAGAATTGCTCGAGGAGACATTATCCCCAGGACTTCGATCGATGTCTTATCGCGTGAGCGGAAGTACCGCGGACACGTGTAGGCTTGTAAAGCGCTTTCGCAGAATATCCATATTTTGTGGCGTCTCGAGAGGAGCGAACCTCATCTCGGTGTTGTGTAGGCAGAGTATTACTTATAAACGTTACAAGATGATGTAAAGCGGCCTCCGTATATTAACGAGAATATATGAAAATATATTATCCGTATGTGAGTACGAGGGGTGAAATATATCGACAAAATTTTACGGACTCGTGTATGTACTCTTCACTCTCTCGCATCTTCGTTCAACAGTAATCATACACGTACACGTCGGAAGGAACGATCATACACGAGGAAGAAATCGTGCGGAGGAGATAAATCATACTCTCCTGCAATATCCTTGCGAGAAAGAAATAGTTCTCCTCGCTTGTACTTTCAGGCGTGCACTTGTGAGAGGAGTTTCGTGAAGTAGAGGACTTGGATCGTGGATTGTGTCGCGGCAGTAAATGAGATTCGATTCGTTAACAATGCTTTATTGCCACTTTTTTTTCACATTAAAATAACCTTAGAAATGCAAAAAGCTATGGCTAAAAATAACAGAAATTATGGAGGCTTGAAATTTCTCAGTATTGGGTATGGCAACGTTTCTCACGTCCTTCCTCTTCAACGATGGAAAAAAAAAGAGAGTAACAGGCTTAGTTCTGAGAGAAGAGCTCTTAGAGAGCTTTTCCCAACTATACACTACTGTCATTCTTGACGATTGGCGCTTCGCGGCTACTACTTTAGATATTTCTCTAATATAGTATATACGAATTATAAAAGAAAGAAATAATAATTAAATATGTGTGCGTACTCTATGCAATTCTGTTCTCTCGAAGAGGTACCATTTGGAGTTCAATTCAACAACAATCTGAGTCGCATTGGCCTTCGACGAGTTTTTAATCATCGTTATCTTCCAACAAATCGTAAGAGCAACGAATAAAAAAAAAAGAAATTAAAAAATATAAATATTATTAAGCAATAAAAATATAAATAAATACATATAAACTATGAAGTCGAACAACATTTCCAATCGGCAGAAGAGTTACCTTTGCTCGAATATATATTATACACATATATATCTTTATATATATATATATATATATATATATATATAAAATCATCATTAATCGTTAAATGTTTAGTCGTACTTAATGAATCTCACAGTTTTTGTTGATCTTAAATATCCCATCGATTGCTCAAACCAATTATAAAAAAAAATACTTCTTGATTGTCATATACGAACAGAGATTGTTTTTTTCTGTCGTTTTGCGTTTCACATAAAGATTCGGAAATGTCAATGAAGTAAACTTATTCTCTGTGCTTCTCTGTCAACGTGAAATTATCTAGATATGTGTATACATACATAAAGCGTTATAATACCCGAATTGTCAGCAGCGAGCCGACGAGAATCGGAGAAATAAAATAAAATTAAACGTAATAATAGATATGCAACAGGATATAAAATTCTGAAAAAAAAAATGGAAAAGAAAAATCGCGATGTGCGATGTGTTATAGCTTGGCGAACTGATGACGATCGTCCACGCGATATATCTCGAGAATAAAAATTCATTTTCTTCCGAACTATTACTCGAATAACTCCATATTCAACTCGTATATTGCCATAAAAATTGACTTTTGAGATATCACGTTTCAACAAGTATAATTATAAAAGCTTCATCTCTTATCACGTTATCGGTAACTTGTAGTTACGTCTGCAACATTTTATACATACGTACATTTCTTTTTTCTTCTTTTTTTTTGCTTCATTCTTCTCTTTTATTATTTTTCAGTTTCAACCATTTCGTTCGGAGTAGCCTTTTCTTTCTCCGCCTGTAGATCACCTTCCGAAGACTCTATTTTGTCAACTACGACTTTGTCTGTCTCGTCAACTTTGTCCACATTATCATTTGTGGGGTCGTTCTTTTTTTCCTCGTCGTTATTCACGACTATACGTTCTTGAGTCTCGTTGATACATATTGTTGCTGTATCTTGTTTGTCATTCGTGTTAATCGTTTCACTCGTAGCAACGATTCCATCGTTTATCAAAATTTCCTCTTTTTTTAAAGCTGTATTATCGTCTTCCGGTTTATCTTCTTCCACCAGTATGGAACACGCATCAGTTGGAGTTGAACTTATTACATCATCTGCTTCTTTTTTGTCTGAAAATTCCTTCGTATCGCGTTTGGCGTCGTTCTCTTGCTCATTCACGTCTTCATTTTGTTTACTGCCAGAATTATCGCTTACGACCTTCTCAATTTGCTCCGTTCGCAGATTCTGTTTTTTATTTCCCTCCACAGTTTCTTCAGTTTGCTTTGTTGGCGAATTCTGCTCTTTAGATTTCTCTTCTACAATTCCTTCAGTTTGCATCGTTAGCGAATTTTGCTCTTTATTGCCTTCCATAATTTCTTTAATTTGCTTCGTAAGCAAATTCTGTTCTTTATTTTTCTTTACAATTCCCTCAGTTTGCTTCGTTAGCGAATTCTGTTCTTTATTTTCTTCCACAATTTCTTCAATTTGTTTCGTCGGAAATTTCTCTTCTTCACTTTTCTCTACAATTTCCTCAGTTTGCTTCGTTGGCAAATTTTGTTCTTTATTTTCCTCTACAATTTCTTCAATTTGCTTCGTTGGCAAATTCTGTTCTTTATTTTCCTCCACAATTTCTTCAATTTGCTTCGTCGGAAATTTCTCTTCTTCACTTTTCTCTACAATTTCCTCAGTTTGCTTCGTTGGCAAATTCTGTTCTTTATTTTCCTCCACAATTTCTTCAATTTGCTTCGTTGGCAAATTCTGTTCTTTATTTTCCTCCACAATTTCTTCAATTTGCTTCGTCGGAAATTTCTCTTCTTCACTTTTCTCTACAATTTCCTCAGTTTGCTTCGTTGGCAAATTCTGTTCTTTATTTTCCTCCACAATTTCTTCAATTTGCTTCGTTGGCAACTTCTGTTCTTTATTTTCCTCCACAATTTCTTCAGTTTGCTTCGTTGATGAACTTTGTTTATTTTCCCCCACAATTTCCTCGATATCATTGTTAATATCACATGGTATGTCTGCAATAAAACTAAATTTCGTATCATTCTTATCATTATCTTTTGCTGCCGATGTCGCTATATCCGTTTCAGCTGCTTTACTCTCGAACGCAACCGCTTGAACAATTTCCGTCTCGTTCGATTCGTTTTCCGTCGAATCAATGGCAGAAACTTGAATTTCCGTTTCATCTTGGGACGCAAGTGTTATTTCCAAGTTCGTCAAGGTCGATTCGTTCTCTACTTCTACGTGAGTTTCGCTGACGTCCATTTGTGTACTTGATTCATTTTTCTGATCATCGGAGTTGTTTAATTCCTTGGTTTGTGCGTCAGGTTCAAAAGCAGTTTCGTCACTTTGCTTTACATTCGCATGTTCATTTTGCGACGAATCTGCGTTAATCTCTTCAAGCTTTTCAGACTTGGACTTAGATTCCAACGAGTTCTTACTTTCTTCCGGTGCACGCGACGGCCTCAATCCCATTTCGTGCTGTTTCTGCACATTTTCGTTAGTATCTTCCCTCCCGACCTCTTTTTTGTGGAAATAAGGTGACTTATTGCCAAGATCCTTCTTCCTTTGCAGAGGTTGCGTTTTGCGTGCATTAGGGGATTTCTGGAGATTGTCGTGATAAATACCTTTGCTCTTGTCTTCGAAAGACTTCGGCCGTGAAAAGGAGTCGGTTTCGCTGGAAGTTATCTCAACGTCCGAGTGACTACTGTACGTAACGCGGCTCCTCTGCCGCGGCCCTACTCTACCTGTTCCAGCGATACTCGGTGAGTTTACTGAAACAATGAACGCCAAGATAACGTTGAGACGTTAGCTTAGATATCAATGGAGTTGTGCCTTATTAGAGGAATAAATGTAAACGCATATCACTTTCAACGTACCTTTGACACTTGTTACTGGTCCTTTCGCCATATTTCCTTGATTCAGAGTAACTTTGATACCTTTGTCAGTAGCGATAACGGTTCTACTCTCGGAACCGGGTGACAAAGGATTCTTTGCGTATCCATCCTGATGGTACGCGTTGTTGGAGCGATTTTCATAATTACTATGAAAATGCTTCGAATTCCCGCGATAAGAACGATTACCACCGCGATTATGATGGGCATAATCATTTCCTACGGGAAAGAAATATGCATGTAATAAGAATATAAGAATATCGAAGACTCTCCATGTTTCATAGTGGCACTTATTCATCATTTTTCCAATCGGTTCTCACCATTAGCGTGATATCGTCTATGATCTTGTGTGTAATCTTTATGATCTTTCTTTACATAATCCCCTAACTTTGCCTCAGATCTAGTCACCTCGTTCACGATGTGCGCCTGTAACAATCATACATACATATGCAACGTCGTATGCGGTTATAACGTACTAACGCGCATATCTCTTTTTACATAATCTCGAGGACTCTCACTTTGTCGTTGTCCCATTCTCTTCGCCAATTACCCTCCGCCGTTCTCTGCCTACTTATGCGATCCTCGTCGATGCGATTTCTCTCCGCTCTCCAGGCCTCATACTCTGGCTGATATTCGTCTCTGTGCGCCCCTCTGTTTGTCCTGTAATCCTTTTCGAGCAAAGAAGTTATTGAGAAGAAATGTGATCAGACACACATCCGAAATTTGTCCTTTACTCACTCTTTGCATGCCATCCTTTCCTCCAACTTTTCTTCTGAACATGCCTCTTGAATGCTTCTGCCCCCTATTTGGAGGATTATCCTTTATATTTTCAGTGTTGCCTTCCTCTCTCTCAGAATCAGCTAAGAAATTATATTTAGGATCAGGTGGAGGTCTTTGTCCCTGTGGATAATATATTAAAAATTAAGCAACTGAAGAAATTTATCCAACTTTCCAACTAAAAATAACTTTAATTAACTAATAATTAATTACTTAAATTAACACAATTACACATATAGACACATTTTATATACATACCTAAGTTAAATTAATGTTTCTAAGAATATTATTCAAGTATAGTTTTTTTTGCATATTTGAATGTAGTTTCTTTACGTACTTGAGAAAAAACGTGAGCTTTCCTTCCTTCTCCACTGGCTACATGATATTGCTGAGGATACTCATGGTGTTCCTTGACAGGCTTTGGTGGTTTATTGCTTGCTCGAGGAGGATTAGAAAATTCTGGCGGTTCCTTCCTTTCAGGCCAATCTGTAGATGGTACCATTTGTACCAATGCGTTCAATTTAGCTGCATTTTTTTTATCTTCCTCTACCTCCTATGTAACAAATTTCATTAGTGTCATGTGTAATAATCACTAATAAAATTACTTAATTTTTACCTCATATCTCCTTCTAATCTCCTCATTTTGTTGCTTTATCTTATTAATCTTTTCCTCAAGTGCACTAGCTGCCATCTGTAACATAGAGAAAAATCAGATTAGCACGCAATCAAATATAAAGTAAAGAATTGCAGAACAAAGTACAGTGCGTTAAATTGTGTCATTTAAATTTCCATCGAAGATATAATGGGAGGATACTTTTAACATTAGTAATCTAAATCATTTAGCAGAACAATTCGAATTAAATTCGACACGCGCGATCTCCACGGTGGACATTCGTGTCACGTCCCGGCGTGTCATAGGAATCGCGAAAGGAATGTCACTTCCGAATTCTCTAGCCTCTAAATAGCAGCGACGAATGGCCGACTTTGAGTTTCGCGCAAGATTCGCTCGATTCGCTTCTCTGTTTGCGCCTCGAATGTTATCTGAGAAAGGGGAACAGAGCGAAAGAAAGCGTAAGAATCAAGCGATCTCTCCGGATCAAGCGATTCCACACGACCGTGCCCTGCGACGTAAAAAGTCAAGTGGGACATTACTTTTTCCGTGGCGCATAAATCGACGGTGCGCAAATTCGCCGTGAATGCACCACCACAGAGGCGTTGCGCAAATGTAACGAAATCTCGGGAGAAATATCGCGTTGACGAGGATATCGGCGGCCGCGTATCACGTCGCAGTCGAGGGTGCGGACGAGATCTCGGTTACGGGGAAAGTATCCCGGTACCGTTAGAACGAATTTTTCATGCACTAAATTTTAGCCTCTCAATGGCACAATCTCGGTGTATCCGATGCGCGTGCGATTTGAGGCAACTGATTTTGCCGAGGCAATGCGGCGAATGCGAATTGGTATTAATCACGAGGCGATAACGTACGATGAACAAACTGCGTAAGAATCGTCCTAGATCAAGCGGCAGAACTAACACATTCAGAACATCACAAGCAACTATTATGTCAGACGCAGGAAACACACACAACCGTTTGCCGCATTCGGCGCATCTGTCATTTCTCGTGCGCCGCATGCGCCGATTCGATGCGACTTTACCGACCGAGTGAAGTGCACTGTAGTTCGGGCGTACGATGAGAAGTAGAAGACGGTTCATGCGCTTGAACCAATGCAAAGAAGTAAAAATAAAATTGCAACTCGTGTCTCTCGGCTGGTGGTTTGGAAGAACTTAGGTTATGATGAGGCTCGAGATTGATATATGCGATAGAGTGAATTGGTGACAGACAACGATACAATGTAGCGTCGGGAATGAATGCGGGATTGTTGAAACGTACGACTGAATCGCGCGATTCTTTGTCAATGCATTAGAATGGAGGAGAGAGAATTTTAGATAAAGCGGTAATCCTCCTCTGGTTCTGCGGGGGTATTTGCTCGCATTAAATTGGATTGTTTGCTTTAGAGGCGACATTGTGCACCTGCCATGTACTTTATGTAACAATTTACTTTCGTTCATGTATATGTAATCTTGTGATTACGTTTGCCAGGTAGTTACAATGATCTAAAAATTCAGCTGATCATGTGAGTAGCGTGAAATCAACTGCAGATTTACATACTCTAATTTAAAATCGTGATGATTTCATATAATTTTGTGTGTTTGTAGAAGGTCAATGTTGAAAGCTCATTTTTCCATGCAAAAAATGGTGGAGAAGATTCCACTGCGGAAAGCCATTATTAGACTGGACTATCCGGCTATCATAGCTTTTGGCAATCCTCTGCTGGACATCCTTGTGATATTGGAAAATGACGATTTGCTTAAGAAATACAATCTCAGAATGGACAGCGAGACTGAGCTATGCGAGACGAAGATACAAGAGTTGATAGCGGATTTACCATCAGAGTTAATGAGTATATTTGTTGGAGTATGCTTTGTGTTTGCACTGTACATAAATGTTGATTTTTCAGGGACAGATAGCAAAAAAAGAAAAATATTAAACCAATCCATCTGATTGACAGAAGTCCATGAGTCAATTTTGCAAGAGAAACAGATATGTGTTGAGCAACTTTATCTACAACAATGAATAAGTACAGTGAGTCAGCCTGTACATTTGTTGTATCCTAATTTGTATGTAATTGATTTTACAAACAAAAAAGATAACCTATACTGATTCTTAACCAATATTGATTCTTGGACTTGTGTTGACTGGATAATTTTTGCTTATTTTTACAAATATTATATGTACTTGGATCATAAACCTGTCCTTTAGATTGCCATAATATATAGTGGTAGAGAATAAACAGTGCAAGCATCAATATTTTGTAAAATTTATAAATTCTTTAAAAGCTATTATTAATGTTAAGAAATATAATCACCGTTGTAACAAAGACACCTGTAACTGATGATTATATCACAGATATATATTGCTCATATCCATTTCATTAGTTGAATTCCATGTGGAAATTTTCTGTGCTTCACAGGCTGGAGCAAAGAGTCAGTCCTGGAGGATCTGCTCAGAACACAATGAGGATTTTACAATGGCTCTGCGATGATACTCACGAATGTCATATTGGTACCTTTTGCGGTGGTGTTGGAAATGATCAAAGGGGTTCAGTATTAGAGAAGCTAGTTCGACTATCAGGAGTGGATGTGAGGTTTGTGTTTATGGAACACTCAAAATTATTGTGCATAAAAATATATATTGTGCACCTCATAAAATGCGGTAAATTTAATCTCTTTTTCAAATTTTATTAGATACGCTGTACATTCAAGCCTACCAACTGGATTGTGCATTTCGCTCGTAAACGGTGCATCCCGCAGTCTCGTCGCGAATCTCGGTGCAGCTAATATATATTCATTGGACGATTTCAAGAAAGTTAATTTACGATTCGACAATGTAAAGATAATTTACATCGAGGGATATTTTATAACACATAGCTTGGAGGTAGCCAAAGAGCTGGTTAAACGGGCGCAAGAAAAGAATATCATTATTGCGTTTAATCTTAGCGGTCTTTATATATTCAAGGTATAAACGATACATAGCTTGTAACACGACTGCCGAAAACTGATATCTACAACTTATTTCCTTCATAAATCACCAATCCTAATTACTCTCAATTCTTGCAGGATCATCATCCGGCAATTTGTGAAATGGTCGGCCACGCCAAAATTGTTTTCGGCAATGCAAGGGAAATGATTGCGTTGGCGCAGGCGTTGAATGTCAAGTACGATGATGTGACTGATATACCTTTCCTATTAAACAGCCTAAAAAGGATCACGGTGGACGTTTCCAGCGCAACTAGTAAGGACTGGTTGGCCGATGATGGTATATTTGTGATGACGCGTGGTGGGTCCGCGCCGGCGATCATCGTGTGGGGCAAGGGACAATCTGTTCAGGTTTGTTTTGATCAAGAGAGACTATTAGAATCGAAAGATTCTAGACAAGCATGAATAGGACTGCGTAAATTGTCTCTTTAGTGCTTGCTATCTCTTATAAATAGATACTGATATTGTCTACGTCTTGAAAGAATTATCGCTGATCTGAAATTAGAACCTCTTATAAATAGATACTGATATTGTCTATGTCTTGAAAGAATTACCACTGACCGCGTATTCCACATAAAATAAATCGATACACTTGCAGTCTCCCACGCATTAAATGTAATGTAAAAATTTTCTCTTGAATGCATGGGCAACTAGAAAAAGAACGAAGATCGCTTTAGATCACAGTAGATACTCCAATGCACTAATATATAACATCTGTAGTATTGTTTATGATATATTAATTATTACAAATGTTTTCTATTCAGGTATCACCTATTGTACCGAAGATGCCTATCGTAGACACTACAGGCGCCGGGGATGCTCTAGTGGCTGGCTTCTTGGCCGGTGTTTTGGCTCACTGGGACCCGAAGAGCTGCTTGGAGTCGGGATGCAGGGTCGCGTCTTACATAACGACCCGCGTCGGCGTCACCTTACCGAGCAGCGTACCTGCCGATCTGCTTCTTTAACGATTTGATTCGTTTAGGATGAGTCGGCTAAAACGTTACCTGATAACCCGTAATCGCACGGTTACCTCAAAGTTTTATTAGCGCGTTATCGACCATTAGACGAACGGTAAATTAGCATTCCTCGATGTTACGTCCATGTTCGATTAAGATATATTTATTTAAATGAATATATTTATGATGCGCGCGCGCGCGTGGATGACACGCGCACATTAAAAAGCGATGTAATATTTCTAAGAGTTTATTTATTATAGAGATCACTACTGTGTCGTGTTACTCGTATGTTGTGACTAAATTGTGCGTTGTTAAGTGCGGCACTATTGTAATAATTATTAAAGAAATAGCGTGATATATATAATAGAACTATTCTTGTCATTTTGTGTCACTCAGCCAATCTGTAGTTTATCCATCGCAACATGCTGAAATGCAAAAAAGTTTGTAGCTGAAGGCTGGTTTTCTTTTTTCTTTTTATTTATTTTGTAAAACTGTGATGTAGCTTATATGAAGTGAACATATGTGTGTACGCTTTCATTTCCATATTGTATGTTTCAGACCATATCATGTGATCATATAATTTGTAATTCCCGGCAAAAGAGCTGCTGCACTGTCGCCAACTTTCCGACACATCGAGATCACAGGTAATTCGCAACATTTCCAAAGTTGACCGCTTCCACCAGAGACCACTTCTCTGCCACTTCTATATTTAGGAGCTTATCTAATCGCCGCTTTGGCATTATCGCTCCACGCACTCGCGATTTCATGCTCAAAAGTTGTCATAGGTTCAGAAGCGAAACGAATAAATGTGAGTGTGAATGATAAGCCAAGAAGGAAGCGAAAATAAGAGATCACACATGTAGTGTAACGCATAATTCTAATTATAGACTCAATTTTGGAATCGAAGAGAACGGAAGCAAAATGCGGCGGCCGAATACGAAAGTGCACAACAAATCAGTACGATCCCGAAAATTCTGACGAGACGAATAAAAGAAAGAGAGAGAGAGAGAGTACGACTGATAAACATTACACACACAAGTTGTGGTAGATTTCATACACTGACGCTGCAAAAATTCTCGCTTAACCTAGCGAGAAGCAAACGTAGCATTAACTTTAAACGATTCTACTTCTGAGCGAGAAACATCACCAATCATGACGCCAAAATTAGCGAAAAAGATGCACGTCAAATATTTCCAGAGGTTACTGCAGATTATGCCCAGCGATCTGGTAGAGTTTGATTCCACCAGACTGATGATAGCGTATTTCGCATTTTCCGGCCTGGACCTGCTGAACTCGTTGGATGAGATTAGCGAGGAAGTAAAGCTACAGGCGATTGACTGGATCTATGGTCTTCAAGTGCAAGGAGCTGGTGTTCGATCTGGTTTCCAAGCGTCCACCACCGTACCTAAGGAAGTTGGTGAATTTCAATATGGTCATTTAGCAATGACCTACACCGGCTTGGTCACCTTGCTGATCTTAGGTGATGATTTAAAACGTGTTGATCGAGATTCCATCATCGAGGGCCTGCGTGCTTGCCAGAACGCTGATGGATCCTTCACTGCAGCTGTGATTGGCTGTGAAAGTGACATGAGGTTCCTCTACTGTGCCTGCTGTGTCTCTGAGATCTTAAATGACTGGTCAGGTGTCGATATTCCAAGGGCTACCAATTATATCTTACAGAGTATCGTAAGTGTTGTTATCTAATACCAACTAATATCCCCTTTATAGAGAAGAAGTAACTTATATTCCAATAATTACAGTCATTCGATGGTGGAATTGGACAAGGGCCAGGCCTTGAGTCTCACGGCGGATCTACTTTTTGTGCTGTGGCAAGCCTAATATTAATGAAGCAATTTCTGGAACTGTCGAATATACAGCTCAGTCGTCTAAGGCGTTGGTGCCTTATGAGACAGGATGGTGGGTTTCAGGGTAGACCAGGTAAACCATCTGACACATGTTACAGTTTCTGGGTTGGTGCTACACTGAATCTACTCCGAGTGAGCTGCTTCTCAGATGCTAAGCAGAATAAAGCTTTCATACTTAATACTCAAGATGTGCAGATTGGAGGATTTGCCAAATTTGAAAACACCAGACCAGATCCTTTACACACATATTTGGGTAAGTGCAGGAATATCAGATTGCCTGGAAAGAAAAGTTCATGTTACTTGAGATTTCTGTTTTTTTATCTGAATAAAGAGACATCTATAGACAGCCGAATCTGTTTGGGTAGATTTAGCAAAAGGTCTGCTTCAAGTTTTGCTAACTAGTAGAAGTATAATAGGGTTTGCTGATAATATGAAAATAGATCAGTGACAGAATTTACAAAAGGATTGTTAAAGCAATTAAATCATAGTGTTCAAAGTGACATGAACTTTACAGATGATGTGATAATTTTTTTTGTGATATAAATTAGAAATAATTTTATTAAACATGATTTATATATCTGTTGAGTTTTCCTTAAAATATTTCTGCAGGGGCAACTTTTCTTAAATAATGACATTGTATAAAATGTTTTTTTCTCAACAGGTCTCTGTGGTTTAAGTCTCCTAAAAGTTCCCGAAGTGCGTCCAATAAATGCCGAACTCAACATCTCCGAGCGAGCTTACGAGCATTTACAGCAAATTCATAAAAGGTGGCAGGGCAATTGATTCCAGTTCGTGAGAATGGTGAAGTTCAGGGAATCTTGATCCTCATATCAAACGCACAGAGATAAATATCAGACTTGACACTCTTTGTATTTGACTGTAAACATTAATTTATATTTTATCGCATTCTCTGTGCTAGAATCGTCATTCTAAAAGTGTCAATTAACACTGCTACGATAATTATGGTATATATTAGTAGTGCTTTGTCTCACATGATTTAAAGCTGCTTGTGGAATCATGTGCTTGTTACAAAGAAAGAGAGCGAGAGGAAAATACATACATATGTACATATAAAAATATGCAAATAGTAATATAATTAGGAAAAAATGCAGATGCATTGCTCTACAGCAGCGTTTCCCGAGTTGTATCTTACAATACTTGATTTTATTTACATTGATTTATCGATTATTATTTTGTTACTCATTGTTTGCTATTATATATTTATCAATTAATTTCCTTTGTACTATATATAGAAAGGAGAAGGTGCATGTATATATGTATATATATATATATATATATATATATATACACATATACATATTTGTAGAAAATAAAATAAGTTATTTCAATATATAACAACGAACATTTTATGGAATCGCTCCTTTTTTACAGGACTGTAGACTCTACAGGGTTTCTTTCATGCGATAAAAAAAAGTTTGGGAAGCTTTGCTTTAGAGAGAGGATATTAATAAAAATGACTCAGACTCTTTGTAATTTGTGCTTTTTATTTCATATATTTAAGCTGTTATCCCACTCATATAATTGTTGGTCAGTGTACCTAATAAAAGTAACAGGTCATTCAGCTGAAACTCAAAATCTGTTTAATTGAAACGCGAATCCTATTTAGTTGAGATTCGAGTCCGTTGAATTTAATATACTCTTCGCGCCATCACTAGAAATGTGTCTATAGGTGTGTTTAAAAATGGCTGTAGCTACTACTAGTAACGAAAACAAATCGGTTTTTTATTTCTTTCCGATATAGTGATCAACCTAGATCACCGTGCCTTCAGCTCATCCCGAGATATATGCAAGTATAGCCGCTGTAGTGTCGTACAGGTTAGTAACTGCCTCCCCTATTCCCCTTCCGTCCAGAATATGCGAGAAAGAACGCACAGTAAAAACAGATCCTTCTCTCTGTGAGTTATACTCCCACTCTTGACATTTGAGTGAACCATAAACTTCTATATATTACACTAGACTGCTAACTGCGTCCCTTTAACTGTTGCCAAAATGTATGTACAACTTGTGCAGAATACAAGGGATGCGCAGTAAACAATTTTATATACTTCTGTAGGCGCGCTACCGTTTCAGCATATTTTACTGTGAGTATTTATTTACAATTTATATAAAAATTTAATAACAAAATTTTATAATTTGACATACCATATATATATTTTTCATGATCACGCACATACACGAGTATTTTATTACTTACTGTAATTTTACCAATATTATTTTTCGCGATACGTATTTTTTTCTTAATTATAACTGATATTAACCCCTTCCGTGGCAGAGCAAAACTCAGTAAAATGCATTGAAACCGCCCCAAAAAAATGACGGCGGATTTTTTCAATAGTTTGTATACTTCAATTTTTTTGGTCGCTGAAGCCGAATTTGAGATCAAAATATAGAAATTCAAAATGGCGGATCGAATATGGCGACTAAAATGTTTAGAAATGCTTAATATTATAAATAAAAGTAATTGGTCATTTCTCAAGTCACTAAATTAACGATTTTTATATAAAATCGCTCTTAACGCTCTTGCTGCTCGCTGCGAACTGACTCGTTCGCTGCTCGCTCTTCGTCGTACATCCTATTTTTTGGTACTACCAGAGAGGAAGCTGAGAGCGGCCAACACGGCGTTTTCGGCGACACCGATTTTTCGCACTGGAAATCTGCATCCATTTTAAAAGGAGAACTATGATGCTACATCCACTTTTAGGTCTTGGTAGTAAAATCTGCATGTGGTGGAAGTCCGTGCTACATCCACTTTCAGGCAGTTTATGTCCGTGCTGCAACCATAGTTACTATCTCCATGCCAGACAATAGGCCTGTTCGTTTTGTCTGCACTGCTGAACTAGTGCAACAAGTTGAAGTGAGAAAATCTACGTTTGTTTCACTTTAACTTAATGCACTAATTCAGCAGTGCAGACAAAACGAACAGGCCTTATGCCCGAAGGTCTAAAAAGAGCGGGGGGAGGGGAGGCGGGAGCAGGAAAAATAAAAGTACATATTAAATATTAAATCCTCTACATACATGTTGCCATATCAAAGTCTCCTGTATAATAAACGATTTGATACGTCTGGAGACACATGATGTATCGTTGCCCGCGTCCCGTTCCCTTCGTCCTGCATCTCAATTCAGCATCCCGTCCGCTCCGGACATTCGCTCGTGGCACTGACAGTGGCCGTCGGTGAGCATTCGATCCGCTCGGAGGAGCACATGTTAATTAACGCGACGAGACTCTGATTATAAATATCTCGCGAGTCGACGAAATATTTGAACTTTTAAAAAAAGCATCAAAGAAAATCACGTTGATGTTGTCATGGGTGAAATCTCACTCTGGTATATATTTTTTTTATTTTCGAAATAAAAAAGCCAAACGAATGCAATTAAATGTTATTTATTATCATTGAATATTAGATGAAAAGTAGAAGAATTATTGTCCGCAGCGGATAATCTAACATTTAATAAGAACGAGACAAAATTCGCATGAGATGAAATTCCACTCTTTAACGCTACCATGACTTTTAATTATTCTCCGAAAACGGCGCTACAACTTTGACATTCTGTACAATTAGTTGCTAACATATTTTCTAATCGTATACATTCCTCTTTAATTAACATAAAGCTAACAAATATCCTATGCTTCGACAGATTAATTTTCTTTATTTTCAGTAATCAATAAGTAGTAAATCAATGTCGCGTACAGTTGAAAGGCCTCCTCGCATTCCCCTCGTTGTCCCGGAACCTTCGAGAAAAGAAAAGATGCCCAAGGGCAAGTCTCTCTTGCTTCAACCGCCGCCGAGGCCCGCAATGTTTACATCGCGCCGATTGTGTTGATCGGCTCGCGAGCGACGACACTTTTTGCCCTTCGTTTGACGTTTGACGAATTTTCCGGGAATAAGAAGTCGGAATTTCGCGCTCGGCATTCACGATCCGTCATTATCCGACTAGTAATCATAGATACTTTATGAATCTGCAATTACTCTCGTATATATAATAATAATAAATTATAATTATAATATTATGTAATTATAATAAAATGTACTTGTAAATTCTCTCTATATATATACGGTGTAATGTTTTATTTAAGTTTATATAGTATTATAATAAATGATAAACCTTCACTATAGAATATACATATCGAATGTGTATATATTCTACATATTTTGATATTTTTTTATTCAAAGATGTTATAATAATTGACGAAATGTCAATGATATCTAATTTGACTTTAAAAAACTATATCGAACTAAAACTTGATTAATACATACATGACAGCATTTTTATTATAATAAAATGTTCTTGTAAATTTTCTTTATACATATACGGTATAATGTTTTATTTAAGTTTATATAGTATTATAATAAATAAATTATAAACCTTCATTATAGGATATATTACAATAAAAATGCTGTCATATATGTATTAAACAAGTTTTAGTTCGATATAGTTTCTGGTGCAGCCGCGCCAAGATTTTTTGTATTTAATATTTTTATTGCATTGCTATAATAATTTATTTGTTACAATAACAAATAAAATAACCATATAACTCAGTGTTCTAATAAATAATGATAAATTTTACTTGTAAAAATTTATGTCATGGACATTTTTTGTATCTAGGTTTTCTTGAATATTTTGAATAGCATAACCTTTAAAAAGATATTTTTTTTTAATATTGGACACTATTAACAAACGTGTTAAATTTTTATAACACGATATAATTTTTACTTTTAAAAGTTTATGTACATATATTATAAAAACTTATGTTATGTACATAATATATATCTTAAAAAAGAAAATAATTTGAATTTGAGATTTCTAAAAATATTAAGTTAAGTATACAATAATCATATATATATATGTTAGGTTTCTCAGTTGGCGCTACTGTTCTAATATATCACTTCTTTTGTACAGTAGAAAAGTGTTGCAGAATTTTATTATAGTTATAAGTTTTACTTGTAAAAACTTATGTACATATATATACAATAAAAAAAATAATTTGAGTTTGATATTTCTAAAAATAACACAATACGTGTTGCGCTTGTACTTGGCGCCTTTTTTTTACCTTTTTGTTTAAAAAGGTAAGTTTTATATAATATTAAATATACGTACGTTTCACGTATAACATGATTGACTTGGAGTACTCCGTGCCCACGGTATTATTCATAGCGACGCATTCATACTTTCCCTGATCTGTTATATCGGATTCGATAATTTACAAGTCACCCGAAACATAAAATGTGATATTCTCGAACAGCGTTCCTCTCAGGATTTTCTTGTCCAAAGAAAGATCAATGATGCGATCGCAGATCTCGTGTATGTCATGTCAATAGAGACAGTTTGAATTCGGCGTAATATGATTCTTGGAACAGACGTAAATAAGTATTGTGAAGTTTGAAACGAGTTTCTCACAGGCATGCTTTGAAAACACGAGTTGTTTTCATTTTCAGCTAACGGACGACGCAGGCATCACTGATCGGCAAGGTGGGGGGTAACTGTGCCTTCCCGATTGTTTGGTTTCGTACGCTTATATATGACTCCGTGATTGCGGAAAGGACATTGCGCCTCGGGCCGACGAACGACGCGCATACCGCGACGCAGAGCAGTACGAGTGTCGGTAGTCGTATCGCGGTTAATACGCGTTTCTTTGTCCGAATTTTACTTGCGCGAGTGTTAGAGCTAGAGTCAGTGTCGTCGCCAGTGCTACGATGGAGTATCCGGGGGTGCTGCGACGGAGTAACCAGAAGAAGGACGTCGGATCGAGAAGTCAGGATGGAGAGAGGACTTGGAGCGCGCCGAGAAACGTAGACAGCGATACATCATGTATGGTATTCGAGGTACCGCGAGTCATTATTATTACGCAGGATTTTTCTGATTTTAACGGACCTTACTCGAAGTAAGGACATACCCGAGTCGAAATTAGATCAGCATTCATAGTTTATTATCTGAAAAATGATAAAATAGATTGAGATTTGATTATTCGTTGACCTAATTTCATGTAACATGAGTTCTACTTCTCTTTTCTCATAAAATATGAATGTCTATTCAAGCAAAGTTGCTGAGGCAAGCTAAGGTTTATGAATACAAATTTGTAATTATGTTCTCAATGAAAAATTGCACACAATTTAGAAAACTATGAATAATGATCTTAGAATCTGATATAAATTTTACAAGTGTTGATTTTTATTCATCTAATAATGCTCAGATTGCTGTTTTCGTTTAGAACCTGCTAGAATGTCCGTTTCTCATTCTTGTTTATCTTTCTTATTGTACCGAATCTGAATTAAAATCTCTATTAGTGAAACAGCATTATTAGACATAACCGTTGTCTTTTTGTAGCTTCAGCTCTTTTGAGAGCTACAATTCTCATCATTCTCATTAGAAAAAAGAAAAGAAAAAAAAGAGGAGAAAAAAGGAAAAAAAAACTTTAAGAATGATGAGAATAAAAAGTGTTTTTCATCTCCCCATTTCCTCTAATTCTTATATGATTATTTAATCCTTATATATTTATCTCACGCGCAGTTCTAACAAAGGCAGTTCTATTTAAGTTTTTATCTTTGTTCTCTTTCTTGCGCTGTTAAGC